TGTGTGTGTGCCTATGGTAAGCTGCGCTTGCCAGAGCAGTCTCTCGTGTGCTTCACTTCTTGTATATCCAGGAGCTGCTTTCAATCCACTTCGTTGATCTTAGCTTCAGAGAGGCGCTCAGCCGAGCCGGGACCCCTAACCCCCAAACACTGGCATCGTTGCGAGTGAACAAGGCGGCCTGCGCAAAGGTGGTGCGAAACTCTGCAAGTGCGAGGGTTGCGAGACGCAACTGGGTGCTGGACGAAAGGCTGCAGGTGTTCCTCACTTGCCCAAAGGACCTAAAAAGAAAAGGGTCAACTTCTGCTCTATTTTTTCTTGGGCACCTTCACTAAGAGTGGCCCAGCACCGGGAAAACCCAAAAAAAACGATCCTAAGGTCGATGCGCTTTGGACCACCGAGCCCTGGATTTCGCTCAGCGCCCTTGCCTTGGAGTCTGCCGCACTCACCAAGGCCAAGAAGTCCTACGAGGACTCGCAAGGGACGTGGGGGGATGACCCCAAGGGGCGGAAGGAACTTCACGGGGAAAGCCCCCGAAGTGCAAATTTGCAGAACCCCCTCCAAAATGTGTGGGGCGGCTGGGCAGATTGAAGTTGCAAAATGAGGCGGCCTCTTTCTTTTCAGGAAAGAAGGAATAGGTTCCAGGATGCTACGCACACACACACACACGCACATGATTGTCCTTTGGTGCATGCAGCAATGCATTGTTACAGCCCGTGTCACAGGCGTGCACGGCCCGGGGATTCTCCTGCTGCAAGCGCTCTAAGACCTCACAAACGCTGGCGCCAGTCGAAGGATCACCAAAGCGCAAATCATGCCCCCCCCCCCCACTTGGTATAGTTGCGGCTTCCCCTGCGGGCCAGCGGACATCTAATTGAACAATGTCTGACCCTTGACGTCTGCGCATCCCATTCCCTAAGCAGGCGTCGGGACTTGGGCGCATACGCCACGACCCCCAAATCCATTGTTTGCTTGACGCCGGTCTACGGAACACCCCAAACCGAGATCCCTGCTAACTACCTGCTGGCTTCACATGTGCCAAAACCGGAATCTCTAGCAATGGCTCCCAAAACTGGGGACTTCTGGGGAAAAAAGCTGCTTCACGAAACCAACTGGGGTCACCAAAGGTTAGGAAGACATGGGAGCACACTGCCAGACGTGCTTCTTTTGAACTTCCATCTTCCGTTGCAGGTGGCGGGGCAATACTTCAGCCTTGCAACATTGCAGGCGAGACGCTTCCTCATCCATCTGGTGCCCCCCGATCTCAACCTGGCTCCAGACCAGTCGCCACCAAGCCCGCCCCAAGCATTTTACACATGTGCCAACACCACCCCAAGCCTCGACAAGGGACATGGGTTGCGTGGTGCAAATGCTCCTGCCTGGACACCTCAAAATTGCAAAAGGAGGCAGCAAGGAAAGCTGATGTGAGTTTTGCGGAAGAGCTGGGCGAAGCTCATGACATCGTGCTTTGGCAAGGGCTGATCAGTGTGCAGCCGGCGTGCAGCCAGCCCCAAGTCCGCACGAGCCAGAAGTGGGAAAGTGGGAGTGGGAGCATGTGGGCCAAATGGGGCTCGAGCCTGTGTGAGCTTATCGGCCTCGAACGTGTCATTTCAAAGCAGGTAAGAACCCGTGGAGAGGCACGCAAGATTCCGCCCTCGCGAATTCAATCTCAAGCAAAGGTGTGTGTGTGTGTGTGTGCGTGTGTGATATGAGGAGCCCTTCAAGGTACTTGCCTTGATTTGTTCTTCCAAATCCTAGGTCCCCCAGAAGAGAGGTTCGAATCAGGGTACCCTTTTTTCTGCAGTCTATTTTATAGGGGAACCCTCCCCCAAACAAGAAATGGTAAAAGGGCACCTAGCTGGGACATCTAGAATCTGAAACAAACACAATTTTCCGGGGCCTGTTTCGCTTGCGAAACCGCGAGCATCCACGCCTTGGGTTCGGCGGGCAGGCTGTTGCCCAAGATCCGCGCCAGCTCCTCCTGAGACGCAGCCAGGCCCCTCTATGAATCAACCGGGGAGCTTCTGGATCCTAGGTTGCCCGCCACCCCCAGTGAAATCCAAACCTTACCATGAGTGAAGTTGTAATTGAACTACCCCTCAAGCCTTCAGGTTCCAACACGCGAAAGGACTTTGGCGGGCCAAGCAATCCCAACGTGGCAAATATACCAAACTGCGCTAAAAAAAGAAGATGGGACTGGTTGGTGGACACGAGCTACAGGGGATTTAGGTTCGTCAGCCCTGTTCAAAGGCGCTCCCCGTCAAACATGTCATGGCCAGAGAGACAGCGGGACACTTGCGCAACCTTGCTGGCTCAGGCCCATGGAAAACTCTGTTGCTTTCTGCTCCCCTGCTAAAAGCTTAACTTTCAGTGGTTTAATGGAACCCCATTAGTTGGGAAAAAGTTATTCAGTCCTAACATCCCTTGGCAAAGTGCACCAAAGAAAAGGTGACAGCTCAACAGCCAAACCGATAGCAAAAGCACAACCCAATCATCCACCCAGCCCCGCAGGCAAGGCATGGCTGTGGGTCAAAAATGCATACCCAAAGTGGAACCCTGATAAGTGGAACCAAAGACTAAAACCTGCGGTCCCCTGGTGTGTTTATTTTGACCCATACCCGCATCTTGGCCAGATCAAAGAACTGGCAGACCCCTCCCCGCTGACGTCCTTGGAAATTTGACTGCACGCCTGCACCTCGGAGCAAAGCTTCGCTCAGGTCCTTTGCCCCAGCTCGATTTGTCTCCCCCTCAGCCCCACAAAAAAACACCGCAGAAATCCGGGGCAAGGGCCCGCCTCACCCATTTTAGAACCTTTTTTAGTGGGGATGATTGGGGATTGGGATGTTCACTGGGGGTACGGGGTTTTGACCCATGGCCATTTGTTTAAGGGAGCGCCGACCACGGGAGGCACCTGAGGATGCGGCACTTTCGTCGTCCGCTTGCTCCGAATACCTCAGGCTGTCTGGAGGCCGGCGCAAAGGCGAGGGCGCACTGAGAGTGAAGCGGGCGAAAGTGCGTGCCTCCCCCGCCTGATCCAAATCAGGCACCCCCCCCTCCCCGGGAAGAAATCCGTTTCATCACCGGCTCGTTCTCCGCCAGAGTTTCGATGAGCACGGCGCCCCGAGAATCGAAAACCCCCCCCACCCCCCACAAAACAGGAACAACACCACTTCAGATCCCCCGCTAAAAGTTTAACTTTTAGTGGGATAAATGGAAATTACCACTAAACACTAAAGGCCAAGATGGCTGGGAGCCACCAACATCCGAGAGAAGATCCGAAACCAAGCCAACAAACACCTTGGGAGCAACATGGCCCGGGGGCGGCTCTACCTGGGCGTGCCCAGCGCAACGTCGCCCCTGAGCATCCGCCGCCCCAGGCGGAAGATCTGCTTCAGACCCCGGCAGCCTGCGGGTCGGGTCCACTTGGACGCTTGGGTGCTGTAGATCCCAGCAAAAAGTGACAAACCTTTTGCTGGTTGAAAGGACATATGCGGGGGAATCCAAAAATTTAAAGTCTAAAGATCCAACCCAATAGCAGTACAGCAGGGGTGGCTCCTGGCATACACATTTTGAGCATCATCACTGAGGCGTTGTTGACCCCCCCGCAAAAAAGTTTTAACTTTTTCAGGGTTTGGTGGAAAACCCGTTGATTTCCCAAAAAGTTAAAGTCTGAAGATCCAACCCAATAGCAGTACAGCAGGGGTGGCTCCTGGCATACACATTTTGAGCATCATCACTGAGGCGTTGTTGACCCCCCCGCAAAAAAGTTTAACTTTTTCAGGGTTTGGTGGAAAACCCGTTGATTTCCCAAAAAGTTAAAGTCTGAAGATCCAACCCAATAGCAGTACAGCAGGGGTGGCTCCTGGCATACACATTTTGAGCATCATCACTGAGGCGTTGTTGACCCCCCCGCAAAAAAGTTTAACTTTTTCAGGGTTTGGTGGAAAACCCGTTGATTTCCCAAAAAGTTAAAGTCTGAAGATCCAACCCAATAGCAGTACAGCAGGGGTGGCTCCTGGCATACACATTTTGAGCATCATCACTGAGGCGTTGTTGACCCCCCCGCAAAAAAGTTTAACTTTTTCAGGGTTTGGTGGAAAACCCGTTGATTTCCCAAAAAGTTAAAGTCTGAAGATCCAACCCAATAGCAGTCAATACTTTTTTGGAGGACGTGGACATTCGCAGAACCACCACGCGCCATAGCCAGCCCTTTGGAGCCACGCGCCGCTTCCGGCCAAGAGGCAAGCAGCCAGCGGGGCCAGCGGCATGGCGGTCCCAAACGATGCGCACCCGCTCTGCTTGGTTGACGTTGGAAGGGGAGCAAAAATTCAATTTTTAGCAGGTGAGTGGGGATTGGGAAACAACCATATCTGTGGGGGCTAGCTCTGCGCTTTAGGCAGGCTTCCATGGGAATTCACTAGGACATGTTTTGGTGCAGCCCTAGCCCTGTCAAGAAATCCTGGCCTTCAGCCCTTCCTCGCCAGCTTCTCAGGGGTTGGACCAGCCCTACTCAAACATGTTGAACCTTTCTTATTATTAGATGCCGGTCCAATCAACAATTCGCGGAATGAGTAAACCCGTGGCTCGAGCAGTTTGATGAGTGTGCGCCATGTCATCTCATCCCCTTGGCTACGGGATGTGACCACTGATGACCATTGCTCCAATGCTTGTTTTCGCATTTGTTCGAGCAAGCGGAAAAAAAACGCCGCGCGGTCCAGTACAATCCATCCAGAATCAGGGCCACCATCAAGCCAGTCCTCCAATCCAAGAGAAACACCCCCCTAATTGACCCCCATGCCTTCCAACTCGGCCAGTCAAAATCATCGAGGTGTCCCTCATACCTTGTGAACCGTTTACAGAGATCTCTTTTGGTAAATGCCCGCATCGATTTGTCTCACCCAAACATGTGGCTCCCCCTTAACCCACCTTAAAACAGGCACATGGACACGAATCAAACTCCCCCAATCCTGCTGGCTCTGCAAAAAAACTGCTGGGCCCGAGGCAAATTCCCTGTCCCCCGTGCCGTCGCCTGAGCCGAGCCCCGGTCAGTCAGAAATGGGGGAGGCACATCCGCAGGCATAGGCAAGACGGGTGCTTGGCTCATTTGGGGTCAAAATTAAACCATCGGGGGACCGCAGGTTTTAGTCCTTGGTTCCGTTTACCAGGGCAAGCCATTTTGGGTACCTATTTTTGACCCGCAGCCATTTCGTTACCTTGTGGGCTCAGCGATTCGGGAATCGGAACGAGCCACCAGCACCAGCAAACAGCACCAGCCCCACCGCGACGACAACGGCGACGACAATCACAGCCACAACCACGTCGCAACAGCAGCAACTTAGCGCGCAGCAAAGGTTCCACTGAGACCCGCTGAATGGGCACCTTGGCGACAGGTCTGGAAGGAACATTACGTCTACAAGCAAAAACAATTTGCAAAACTACGGGCTGAGATACATCTAAAGTTAAAGGTCAACCCCCCCCCCCCAAAAAAAAAACAATAACAAAGCAACAAACAACTCACAACGGCAGAAAGCAGCAAGAACGGATGATTTGCCTTTTGGAGCAGAGGATCCCCGAATCCTGGCTGTCGGGTCGAGAGGGCAGGGTATTGCAAAACGGGTTTCCTAGCCCTCCCATAGCCGCTTGCCCCTTGGTCTGGATTACACTGCGGGCTTGTTTGCAAGCCGTGGAAGGGGGGCATGGGAGTCCCGGCAAGTGTGAAAATGCGCGAAGCCGTCGCGAAAGGACGGGGAATCCATCCAAAAGGAGTTACGACACTCAAACGTCAGCTATGCAATAGTGAAATAAAGACAAGACAAGACATGCACACCAAAACATCTCCAAGAGGAATACACCAAAACGTGAGAAAAAGAATGTACCAGGTACCCCCTCTCAACACCTTTCGGCCTCTTTGATCAACACCTGCCGCGCAGCCTTGCCGACTGCTCCGCACGGCCTCTCCAATGGGAACGTCGGACGATTGGAGGACGCGATTGTCTTTGACATGGCCCTGGCAAAATTGGACTTGGATCCCTCTCAAAGTTTGCTTTTGGCTTCCGTGGCTTCAAGCGTCGCCTACTTTTGGTTGCGACCTGAAACCATGAAAGGAAAGCGCAGTCGGAAAGGGACCAAGTCGACGACCTCTCACAGGCGTGACCAAGTGAGAGGCTCTGAGGAATTTTCCCACGCCAACATGGCAGCAGTTTCCGTATCTTTCCTGGTCTTGGCGATCCGAATCCGAGGCACGGATCGAAAACTGTGCAAGAAAAGGGTGACTCGTTTCTTTGGAGGATTCGAGCACCCCAAGACGGCTTCGGGTTTTTCGTTTTGGTCTTCTTTTCCAAAAGGGGCACCCTCGCAAAAGACAGACCCATACGTTTCGCAATACGAATGCAATTCCGTGATTCCTGCATTGACAGTTTGATTTGGTGCTGCTACCCGCCAAAGTCAAAACTCCTGCCTTCCAAATCTGCAAGCAGGGGTTGCCTAATTTCGATCCCAGATGAATCATCCCGCCGGCCCCAGTTCTTCTGGAGGGTCCCTGTCTGGTGGGGAGCTGTCCCTTCGAAAGGGAAGCTTGCTCCACATTTTCAGGGCTCATTCATCAAAACCGAAATACAGATAACGGATTCCCCAAATAGTATGGTGGAACGCCACCAAAGCCTTGCTCCTGACCCCTCTTGAAACACAACGGTCCAAGAAATTCCGTGTCGTCCCCGCCTGCGGCTTCAGCACCGAGAGCGGGGCTTCGCCGGAAATCGCCGCCAGCGCCATGGCGGGGCGACTTTGATGGGTTCGTCAGCTTCCCTCCAGCTGGGTTTGGAGCCCGGTGGTTTGGTGGCCCATTTACCTTCTTACCCTCCACAAGAACCAGGGCCAATAGGACAATAATTCTGTCAGTTTAGTTGGATTTGCAGTTTATGACATGGCCGAACTAGAGCATGGTATGTAAGGGGTCGCTGGATCCTCCCTCCCAAAATCGCACTCATGTTTTTTGGCCGTCCCTTTCACAGGTCGCGGACACGCTTAAAAACCCTATATAGTCTGAAGTCTCAGCTCATAAGGTCAAGCGGACAGCATCGGGGAGGGGTGGCAAGGACTCAATTTCTGCAAGGCCACTTGAAAAAAGAAAACAATACTCAGTTGGCGTTGGCTGAATTGCTCAGGAAGCCCACCGCCCACGAGTGGGCCATCCACGAAGTTACCCGAGCGTGTCTTTCATCCGAGCGTCACGGTTGGCCGAAAAGGGAGATAGAAACAACTTCTCTGGAAGACGAGAAGGGGTCAGGGTTCCCTACATTTCCTCTTTAAACACCATTCACCGAAAGACAAACCATGTGACATTGTCATAGCAAAATGGTGATGTTTGAAACTCAAGGGTGAATAATATAGGGACCCCTGAAAGTCTGGGCCAGAAAAGCTAGAAAATTGTCTGGCAAGCTCTACGACTGTATGCAACGCCAAAGTGAGTAGCGCTCAGGCTCTCTCACTGGCTGACGATCACTTTCTCGCGGTGAAACAGGAGTGCCCGCTTGGCAAAGCCCCCCGCCTCCGTCTTAAAAAGGCCGAAAAGCCCTTAGACCATTTGCCCTTGGACCCGGGAAATGCTAGGGACCTTCTCTGGAAGAATTTCTAGTGGGTCCTCTTTGTTCCTTTCGCGGGTCCAAGCGCAAACCTTGGTCACTCGCACCTGGTGAAACGGCCCGCCCAAGTCTTCGGGGAGACTGAAACTTGGCTCAGTGCACCCCGGAGGTTTTTGACGAACCTCAAAGGCCGTCCTTGCCCTCCTGCGCCAGCCTTGGCAAGACAGCAATTTTGCGCCACAGGTGAAGCGCTAAGGCGCCTCATGAGACACAAACTCCAGGAGTCAGCTGACAAATTCCGGGCTCACGGGATTCCCCCCAAAAAGTTGCTCAAGTTACTGGTGGCTTCCCACCGTTGCATGGGAACAAGCCAAGGGCCAGAGCTTCCTCAGAAGGCAATGGATCAGCTTCCCTCAAAGTGGTTTGGAGCGCCGGTGGTTTGGTGGTTGCGGGGTCGTAAACCTCATTTACGCTCAACCAAAACTGCAAATCCAATCCTTGACCAAATCGGGAATGCTTGCCCTTGAGGCTTGGCAAGTTCGGCAACGGGCACGCGTCAAGGCATTTGACCTGAAACTGAGGGGAGGTTCCATTGCCAGGCGAGTTTTAGCCTTGCTTCTAGGCCTATCCCGAGGCTATTGTACAGGTGGGTGCCCTGGGCAGGGGCGCAGTGCATATTCCTTTCAAAGATGTGCCAAGAAACGCTGACAAGAAACCCACACCATGCCTCAAAACTGAAAGGGGACCACATCAAAGAGTACAAAGTCCGACAGCACGGTCCTCTCTGTAGCCCAGCACCAAGCTTCTGCTTCCAATCCCACGGATTCAGCCCAACACCGTCGCCATTTAAGACTTCTCAGTGGTGCCCTGAGGCTCGGGCACGCCCTCGTAGAAGTAGCGGACAATCTCCTGGGCCCACACATGGCCATGCGCCGCGTGCTGGATTCTTGAAAAGATTGCACTAGGAACCCTGCAAATGCCAGGATGCATGCTTCTTGGGCACAAACACGTTTGCTGTAATTTACAAGGTCTTAGCTCTAGCATTTCCAAGATTCAGGGACCGTACTTTGTTAGAGTCATTGCCATCAACCTGGTCACGTGGACATTGCTCAGCCGTGAGACCCAGAGTTGAGTATAGCCTTGATGCACATGGAACCCCGGCACCATCGCAATTGCACCTCCTCAAGCCCAGAAACATCCGAAGGCTGAAAGCGTTGCGGCCAAGGCGCCCTCTCCAACAAACTTCCCTGCACCTGGACAGAAATCGAATCGGTGGCTGAAACTTTACTGATTCTGGTAGGCAGAGCCCCGGCTTCAGACAGCCAGAGCCCACAAGGTAAAGACGGAAACACCCAACTCCCAACCACTTGGCTGACGACTTTTGACAAGCAAACCAAACAAACAAACGAACGAACAAACAAACAAACAAGCAAGCAAGCAAACAAACAAAACAAATAACACAACACAACACACACACACACACAACACACACGCAACAGAAAACAACACAAGCATGCAAGCAAGCAAGTAAGAGAGTAAGTAAGCAAGTAAATAAGTAAGTAAGCAAGTTAGCAAGCAAGCAAGCAAGCAAGCAAGCAGTCAAGCAAGCCAGCACGAACGCAAGCAAGCACGCAAGCCAGCAAGCCAGCACGCAAGCGAGCAAGCAAGCAATCAAGCAGGCAGGCAGGCAGGCAAGCAAGCAAGAAAGCAAGCAAACAAAACAAACAACACAACACAACACACACACACACAACAGAAACAACACACGCAAGAAAGTAAGTAAGCAAGCAAGCAAGCAAGCAAGCAAGCAATCAAGCAAGCCAGCACGCACGCAGGCAAGCAAACCAGCAAGCAAGCCAGCAAGCCAGCACGCAAGCAAGCCAGCAAGCAAGCCAGCACGCAAGCAAGCAAGCAAGCAAGCAGGCAGGCAGCAAGAAAGCAAGCAAGCAAGCAAGCAAGCACGCAAGCGAGCAAGCAAGCAAGCAGGCAGGCAGGCAGGCAAGCAAGCAAGCACGCAAGCGAGCAAGCAAGCCAGCAAGCAAGCAAGCAAGCAAACAAAACAAACAACACAACACAACACACACACAACAGAAACACACAAGCACGCATGCAAGCAAGCAAGCAAACAAGCAAGCAAGCAAGCAAGCCAGCAAGCAAGCAAGCAAGCAATCAAGCAAGCCAGCACGCACGCAAGCAGGCAAGCAAGCAAGCACGCAAGCGAGCAAGCAAGCCAGCAAGCCAGCACGCAAGCGAGCAAGCAAGCAAGCAGGCAGGCAGGCAAGCAACGCAAGCGAGCAAGCAAGCAAACCAGCAAGCAAGCAAGCCAGCACGCAAGCGAGCAAGCAAGTAAGCAGGCAGGCAGGCAGGCAAGCAAGCACGCAAGCGAGCAAGCAAGCAAGCCAGCAAGCAAGCAAGCCAGCACGCAAGCAAGCAAGCAAGCAAGCCAGCACGCACGCAGGCAAGCAAGCCAGCAAGCAAGCCAGCAAGCCAGCACGCAAGCAAGCAAGCAAGCAAGCCAGCACGCAATCAAGCAAGCAAGCAGGCAAGCACGCAAGCGAGCAAGCCAGCAAGCAAGCCAGCACGCAAGCGAGCAAGCAAGCAAGCAGGCAGGCAGGCAAGCACACAAGCGAGCAAGCAAGCAAGCAAGCAACCACCAAACCAAACCAAGCCAAACCAGCAGCGTGGCTGCCGTTGAACAAACGGACCCCAAGTTTCCGTCTTTTTTTGGGGCAGCAAAGCAAAGCAAAGCAAAGCAAACCAAAGCAAAGCAAACCAATCCAAACAAACAGAGGGGTTGCCGGCCCGGGCTGCGTTCAAACAAGCAATCAAACTCACAAACAAGCAATCAAACCACACCAAACCAGGGCTGCCGTTGAACAAACGGACCCCCCAAGTCTCCGTCTTTCTTTTGGGCAGCTGGCCTGGGGTCAAGCAAGAAAAGAAAGCACAGCAAAACCAAACAAACCGAACCAAACCAAACCAAACCAAACCAAACCAAACCAAACAAACGGTGCGTTTGCCAGCCGCCGGCCTGGGCCCCAAGTCTCTGTTGTTTTTGCAGGCGGCCTGGGCCCCAAGTCTCTGCTGTTTTTGCAGGCGGCCTGGGCCCCAAGTCTCTGTTCTTTTTTTTTTGGCAGGCGGCCTGGGCCATGTTTGCGAAGCTCTTGCTGTCCCACCACTGGTCGAAGGCATCCTGGTCCTTCCAGGCGCTCATGCTGATGTAGTTCACCTCAGAACCCCCCCCCCCCCAAGGCTTCTGTGCTCAAAACGGAAGATGTTACAGGTGTCCTTAAAAGGGGGAAATAGGATGGGTTTCCCTGGTAGATGAGAAAAAAAGACCACCTGGGAAGCCAGGGATCGAAACCCATCTATTTGTCGAGCAAGACGACCAAAAAAGGACACCTATTTATAGACGCCCTAAGACACGTGCCATTTCGGAAAAGACAGGTCGGGTAGGTCTTGTTCCATTTGCTGTCAAAGTTTCGGGAAGCCATCTGGTCCTTCATTTATTTCTGAGAGTGCACGCGCTGTGGTGGAGACTGCGGGCGAGATGTGTCTGAACACTCAACAAAACGTCGCGAAAGCCCAAACTAATAGAGCAATGCTTGGTCTTTGAACCCCCGCAAAAGGCTCGAAACCGTTGAAGAAGCTTGATCCAAAACTGGCCAAAGGGTGACAGCTGCAAAGCAGCACGCGCCAAAAAAGGGCCATCTACACGCAGAACTGGGGCTGAACTTTTCGCAGATCTTAGCCGTGGGTCGTCATCATCTGGGCTCTGCTCCCTTCTCAAGAGCTGGAAGAAGAGAAAGCCCTCCGCCTGAGCGAAACCGAAAACCCAAAAGCAAAAAGACCGACTGGCGCGAGAGAAGCAGGAAATGACCCGATGAAATAATCAACTGGTGGTTTCCTTTCAGGGAACCCCCAAAACGGTTCAGATCATTCCCAACACCCGGACTTGGTCATTCCCTAGCTACCGCACCGGGAAAAAGACCCGTTTTGGCTCGCCAATCAACACTGCGCCGCTAGGAAACAAAGACAGCGACCGCCGGTACAGACTCATATGTGAGGTTTTCTGCCTCGATGGAACATTGGGAACCCATTCATACTCCCCTGATTGGCTTTTTGTGGGGGGGTGCAATCCGCTTAAGGAAGGGATTCTTCACTTTCGAGGGACGCACCATTCATCAAACGGTGTGTTAATCCGGGGCGGGCATCAGGGTCCTTGGCAATCAAATTGAACAATCAACACTAGGATACTCATTCCAAACAAGGACCCAACAGGAGATTCAATACACGGCCCTAGATCAGCGAAGCACATCTCGTGCTTGACTTGTCATCCAGCACCCGAGAAGCCCACAAATGCTTCGGGTTCCGATTCTCCAGGTGACTTGAAGGGAACATACTCAAGGACGATACCACCCGAGACACATGGGTCGCAATCAAAACGGAGTATTAAAATGGTCTACCCATTTCGATGAAGATTCAATAGCCCCAATCTATTTCTGGCTTGATTACCCCGAAGCTTCACCTGGGTTTCGATTGTTTCTCAAATTTGCCTCGAGGAGTTTGCTCTCGCGGTTGGCCCAGCGCTGCTCGAATTCCTTCTCATTGCCCGGCTTCACCGTGAAGCGGTTCATCGCCTTGGCCACGCGGGCGGCCGAGGCGAGCTCCTTTGCTCGGGAGCTGCTTGGGGGACAGGGGGGAGGGCACCAAGACGCATACATATGCAAACACATGTGCAAACACACATAAATAAATATATTCATGTATATATATATATATATATATATGTAATTTGCACATGCCTATACACACGTGTCTGCACAAGCTTGTTTTTGCATACCTATAGCTACACAGTAAATCTATGCATGCAACATAAATATGCTGTATGATTTGTGCTATGCAGTATGTCGTGCTGCTATAATTTATATACACTTCACACCATTCTAGCCTGCACAGTCTACAATAATATGGGAGTCCTGCATGCCATGCTACGCGACGTGTGAAAGAAGGGGATGCCATAAAACCTGCCCATATGAGTGTTCCTTTGTGAAGGACCAAACCCCAACTTAAGAGTGCACCCTGCCGGCAATTTGAATTGTGAGCACGCGCCAACGCTGAATGCTGTTTCTCACATGCTCACTGGCCCAACCTGAAGATGAAAGGCTAACCTTTTGGGGCCTCGTTGGAGTCGTTGGACCACAAAGCAATGAAAGCCACAGGCTAAAATCTACCAGCTTTGGCGAGCATGAGCTTCGAACACAAGTTCTGTCTCTCCTCCCACGCCTAGCTTCTGCGTGTACCCAACGGAGTTGTATAAACCACCTTCGCCCACCAGAAGGGAGGACAATTCCACAACGTTGCCCAGGCTGCGATTCCGGCTGTGTCCAACCCACGGGTCCAACCCACGGGTAGCTTTGGGTACGTTTCATTCATTCAGTGAGATCTGTCTGAGACCCCCTGCCACGAAGCAGTCGGTCGGCAATGGCGTCTCCGACGCCTGACTGATACTCTCCCTCACCTGGGACCGACATTGGAAGGCGGCTGGCCAGTTCTGAGGCATCCCACGGCTCGTGTTCCGTTTGGCCGTGGCTTTTTGTGGTCTGCACCCCCTTTTGAATGGGAATTCAAGGGGAACCAGAAGGGAAAACCGAGGCCATTTTGGGGGGGAACCCTGATATCCTAATAAAGATACACGTTGTTGCGAGTTGAGGGGTGCACCTCACAAAAAGCGCCTCGTGACTGGCGGTTTCCCTTTTCACATCGCATCCCATGCAGTTGATGACTTTTTGATGAACCTTGTTTTGTTGGAATCACGCCACGGCTTGCTTACTTCCAACCACTTTAAGCATTCATGATAAATCAGGATAAATACTCAGATTTTCCAAGCATAGTAATTGTAGGAGGTGAAAGTTCGGGATTACCTTGACGCCAAAACACAACACACTAGACGCCAAATTGGCGCGGCAAGAAGCAGGGGAGGCCTTCCAAAAAGCTGGACAAAAGCAAGGGAGGCCTTGGCACACTGGACATCTCGAGCCAGCAATGACAAGGGAGGGTCGCGGAGCGCTTTCACTTCCGTCTAAAAGTTATGAGTCATGTTCTTGGCTGATGTTCAAGGGACAGCCATGCCAAACCTGGCCTCTTTCGGTGGAACTGGAAGCAATTGGCCCTGCATGTTTCCGCTGGGTTGTTCAAACCAAAAGCTGGCCAGCCCCAAAGGCGACCAAAGCCCAGTTTCAGGGTCGCTCAGGGTTACTTCTGCACCAGAATGGGAACCCCTGTCCCCTTTTAGTGGGGATGCCGACCACTTTCGAACGGACAACCTTTCTGTGGGACAGGTTTAATGGGGGTCAACATTGACCTCCCGGCACCAGCGAGAGCAGGTTAAATTTGGCTCGTGCCTCAGCTTTCTCCAGCAAAAGCCCTTTCCAGATTGCCGGCTTGGGAGGGCCGCTGGTGGTCACGAAGCCATTCACTGCCTCGACGCATAAGGCGCTTTCTTTCGCCCCATCACGCCCCAACGGGCTTCTTATGTTTTATTCACATCACCTTTGGGATTCTTGCGCCAGAAGGAAAACACCTATTAGACCCTTCCTGAAGCTGTGCAGCGCAGAACCCGAACCAATTCCCTGAAGGTAGCAAAGTAGGCGCTGCGTCATGTTTCACCGTCCAGTGGGACTGTCCTTTCTGCAGCTTGCTTGGGGAACGATGCCTGTTTGAAGAGCACAACTGCGGTTTTTTGCTGGTGGCACTTACCTCTGATGAGTAAACACCAGTAGGACAATTATGGCTCAGTGTTCCTCTGGGACGAAGGTCTTGCCTGGGGACAACGAGAGGGAGGGGTATCCTCTGCTTCCCGCAGGGGCCGAACTCGGTAACCCCAACTCATTGATTGTGCACCATTGCCCTGCCCGATAGTCAGGGGCCCGATCATGTCGCACATCCCATTGGTTCCTGAGAGAGTTGCCCCTTGGCTTACCCTCTGGTTGCCGTCTCTTGAAAGATTCGGCACCCGTCTAGTTGGTGGCTTGGAGCCCGGTGGTGTGGTGGGTCGTTTGGGGTGTGAAATCCAAATCCAAATCGCCGGGCTCCAAACCGCTCCAAATTGGGGGCAACGTGCGGATTGGGACTCTAGAGTACCAGAAGGCCTCAACAAAGACTAGGTCCTCCAGTGGCGAGGTTAGAATAAGGGTACCGTCTTTTTTTCTTTTTCTTTTTTTTTGTGTGGTCTATTTTAGCAGGGGAACCCTCCCCAAAAAAGTTGGTAAAAGGGCACCTAGCTGGGGGACCTAGAAGACGTGTACATGGTGTTGCCAGATTCCTCAGGCAGCGAGCCGTCAGCTCTGTGGCTTTTTACCCCACAATCAAAGTGAGCGAGAGAGGGAATCGGCTTCTGGCAGCTACTCTTTGATACTCTTTCATCGTTTCTAGTATCCAAGTGCCCGTGGGTCAAAAATAGGTACCGCAACTGGAGCCCCGGTAAATGGAACCAAGGACTGAAACCTGCGGTCCGATTCCTGTTGGTTTAATTGTGACCCATACCCAAGTCATGTGTCGGAACACTTGGAATTGCACAACATCGGCCAATCATTTTTGTGTCTGTTGGCCCTCCCCTAAAAGCTCAGGTCTCACGAAGTGCCCGTTTCGCACGTTTCGCATCTGAGGCCGGGTCCATGTTCACGAAGCTGGTGCTGCCCTGGGCATCCTGGCGTGTCTTGGGACCTTCTTTTGGAAAACCACGCGTTTTCACATCTCAATGTGAGACAGCCCCCCCAAAAAAAAACAAAATCCCCCTCCCAGCAATTGGAACCTGACTTCTTTCTTGGTCCTGGCGTCCAGGCATCCTGGCCATTTTCTGTTTCAAGGGACCGTGTCAGGTTCCATGTTCACTTGGCGTAAGGGTGCCGTCAGACCCCCAGTTCTTCCGCAGATTTTTCCACATCGCCGGCTTCCGACCCCGCCTTGGGACTCGCGGCCACTGCGGCATCAAAGTCCTCGCAGAACCCACAAGGGGTCGCTTTTGGCTCAGAAAACAAGCCCAAGAGTTGGTAAGACATCATGCCCCAGGAAATTTCTTGGAGGTTTCACTTTGGCTTCCTTTAAAACAATGCACACCCCGTTCCTTCTGGCTGTCCCACATGCTCATGGAGACGTAGGTGTAGTCCTCAGCTGTACTCAGAGCGCGCTCTTTGGCTCTCTGCATGGGGAAGCACTTTGTTACTGGAACTCGGCACGGCAACGCTGGACACGTTAAATTCGCACCCTCAATGATATCCTTTGATATCTTCCATTTCGCAGGCTTAAAAATCCAAAAGCATTTGTCCTGAGAACATCCGACAATGCTACCTTCAATGGCTTAGATAACCTTTGAACATCATAGCGACTTTGATATCTTACAGCTGACTTTGACATGGTCAGCCCAGTTTCAGGCTTAAGGTTTGAGTTGGCCAGCGGTTACAACCCACAGGTTTGCCAGGCTTCCTTTTTTTCTCCGCAACCTAACCAAACAGGACATGATCACAAACCTCATTTCAAAAGTGATGACTTGCCACGAAACATGGCGACTGAAAAATGCAAACCGCCTCTTACATCCGGAAGGTCTGATGGTAAGCGTTCCAGCCGTTCATAACACATGGGTCCCAAGTTGCAGCGCAGCGTCGTCCTCATACTGCTCATCATCGTAGTTGTAGACCACCTGAGCTCACCGGCGAGTGCATCAATTTGCGGATGCCCCTCATCCCAATGTGAGAAACGTGGCGCAACAGACCTGACGACGCCCTGTTCAGGACGGCTTCAAGATGCAACCAGCAGTGAAATCAGATGCATTGTCCGTGTTTGGACACACTCTTCCGTGACTTCCCTGAATAGAGTCTTGGCTTCAGGGCACAAAACAAAAAGCACGGTCGATGGGCGCATCGCTGCGAGACGCCTCCCCTGATCTCAATGGCTTCCGTCCAAGGCACGCTGAGTGCTCCGGTGGACTTTGGCGTGCTAGACACACGTCGCAGCAAGGAGAACCAGCGGAATCCATCTAAGCCTCGGCGCTTCGGAAGGCTTCGGAGGGCGAATTTTCTCACTCAACTAGGTCCTCCAGTAAAGAGGTTAGAAGAAGGGCACCCTTTTTGCAGGAGTTTCTTTTAGCAGGGGCACCCTCCTCCAAGAAAGGGTAAAAGGGCACTACTGGGGGACCCAGTCAAGCTATCACAGTCCTTGTTTACACCCTTGCGGAGTCTTTTGGCCGTCCGACCGACCAGCCAATCAACCAACCTCGACCCCGAGCGCCAGCAAGCCGGCAGCGAAGCCTTTGCCAAGCAAAGCCAAAGACGGCTTCAAGGCCTTGGGCGGGAATTTGGGAACCAAAACAAGACGACTCCTCAAAATCTGTGCTACCTGCAATTGCTTCCATTTTCTTAATCCCACCCGCTTCCACTGTCTGCTTTTTTCAAACCCACCCAAAAATCCTGGTGGCGCGCCAGTCGCGCGAGCGCCGCTCGAGCCGTTTCCTCGCTCGTCGCTGGCTTGGCTCGGAGCTTCGGGCGAGGGGCTCTGCAAGGCCTCGTCTTTGCTTTTGCCCCAGCGCTGCTCAAAGGCGTCCTCCGCGCCCTCGCGCACTCGGAAGCGGTTCAGGGCCTTCGATCGCTGTCCGCGAGCACGGGAGGCAGACACCGAAGCCGGGCTCCACAACACGGTGATGCGAAAAAAAAAGTCATGCGGGAACACTATGGAAACCGATGCCGGTGGGAAATTACGTAGAAGGAGAAGCCTGGGGAAGACCGCTGGAAAACCCAAGTGACTTGAAGTGGCCCAACAAACCCAAGCCGGAGATATTATAATGGAACCATGTTGTCAAAATATTTTACCCTCCAAGTGTTGGAGCTTTTGGCATGGCAGCAACAAAACACGGTCTTTTTGCAGCCCCCTACCAAAATGAGCTGAACCAAAAAATCGAAGCCTAAAAACATGCCAGGAACAGTTTTACTCGCTTGGATGCGCGTTTGGGGGGTGGTGGGGGAGGTCTGAGCTAGCGACGATGAAGCGCTCACCTGGCGCTTGGCAAGCTTCATCGAATCCAATTGAGTTTACGCAGAGGGGCCTCTCAGCTCTTTCGTGGCATGTCGCGTGTGGCAGGCTCTTTCGTTTCTGGCCAAAGCAGGGATCCCTCACAAAGCACACAGTGGAAGCAATTGCAGGTAACACATATTTTTCCGGATTTTTCAGGAGTCTTTTCTTTTGGTCCCCAGCCTCCCCCCCCAAAGCGCTCATATCCGAGGTGTAAAACCCGCGTGTCAGGGGCCCAACCGCGAGGTACCTTTGGATGCCTCGGCCTTTGGGCGGCGCATCCCGTACCCGGCCTTCCATGAGCCCACTCCTCCTCAGAGAAAACGGACGGGGAAGCCCCCCGCCACTGGTGGGTTTGTCTCAAAAATTGGTGGGCACCTCCCAACAGCTGGGCTTCCTTTAATTTTCTTTTGAAACCAACAGGGGAAACCCCCCGCCACTTCTCGGTTGTGAAATCTGCTCACCCGCGAAAAAACATGTTTAACTTTGAGTGGTTTGATACGGAAAGCCCATTAGTTGGCAAAAAGTTAAAGTCCTAACATCCACGCAAAATGCACCAAAGACTTGCGGGTCTGTCTCAAAAATTGGTGGGCACCTCCGAACAGCTGGGCTTTGTTTAGTTTCCTTTTGAAGCCAAAGACGGTCCCCCTCAATGTGACGGATGGCACCCTGAAAAAAGCAATGGAATGTAGATGTTGGATACCAATTGCAGCAGAACTCGTATTTCCATTCGAGATGCTCGTTGGAGTTGCGCGCGTTGTGAATTCCGGATTTCTCAACCGTTCCTCCAGTACAGGTACGCTTGGTATGGTGAGTGATGTTTTGGTAAATTCTGGGTGGGTGGCGCTGATTGAGGGTGATTGGCTAGTTAAGGTTGACTCGTTCGGATTTGCGAAGCCCGTGACATAGCACTGCGAGCAGGAAACAAACCCATCTCGTTATTTTTGGCCATGAAAACCGGCGAAACCTGAGAAGGCCAATGGGTGTGGCACAAAGAAACGGCTGGTTGATTCGCTGGATGGAATTGTGGACTGGGTTCTGAGGAGTCTTCCTGTCCAGGGGCGCAAGGAAGGTTTCTTCCTCCATTTGCCCGCTTGGGTGCTTGAGAAAAAAACAATTCTTCAGTCGGTCGGAGCCCTTTCCCGGGCGAGTCCTTTTTGCGGGTACCCTTTTGGAGTTGGCTTTAAGAGGAACCAACAGGACAAAACCATTTTGGAGTCCCCCAAAAAAGCCCGGCGCTGGCCGCCAGAGGGTCTCGGCTTCCATGGTAGCGGGCGCAGCGAGGACGCGCACGTTGGGCCCTGGCGGCTCGGCGCAAGGGCGGCTCGCCAGCAACTCGAAGGCACAATGAGACCACTTTGTTTCTTTTTGGAGTTGGCAATCCTTTGGTGGAACATGGAAATGACGAGGAAGACCGTTGCGCAATTTTTTGGGGCTCCGAATCCGACACCGAGAAATCAGACACTGCTGTCTGACTGCTGGAACCCGAGGTGAAAGTTGGGAAGCGATCTTCGCCCGTGAGGGCCTAGGAATAGGAGCTCCCGTTTGGCGCCGCCGGGGGGTCAACTGGGATATTGAAAATCGATTGCTTGGGAATGCCTTGATCCCGAAAGTTCGCTCCAACGTTCTCCTACATGGTTAACCGTTCCGCTGGACCACTTGCCTTTCGTGATCTGCACGGCTTCCAAGCCCCCATGATATTTCCACATCTCGACAGGCTTCCCTCCTATTGGTGGTTTGGAGATTGGTGGTTTGTTCGGGGGACAGCGAGAAATTCAAATCCAAATCCAAACCACCCTCCAAACCACCAAAACTGGGTGGTGATTGTATTCCCTTAAAATTTGATGGGACCTATGAGCCCTTTCCGCGAAACCTTCCGCGGGCCTTGGCGGGCAAGTTGTTTCTGGACATTTCAGAAGGTAGCTTGCGCGAGGGGATTCGTGTGCACGATCTGCTAGCATTTCTAATCAGAGCAAATGTACTGGACACAGCAATTCAACCACGTCCCTTCCGCAACCCTGCCGCGGCCGCAGTGTGGTGCCAAGACATGTCCACCGCTGGACGTTTCTCCTTGAGCGGTAAAAACAAAAACCACCACCAAACTTGACTTTACCAAACGAAAAACATGGAGAAACGACACGGGAGCAGCACCCCGCCCCCTCACCGCCTGCGGCTGAAGCAGCCTCGTCTTTGGCCCGAAGGGGGCCCACGAATCCCAGGAAGCGCGCCGCGAGCGCCAACACCAGGGCGACCTCAGGCCAGCGATTCATCGATTCATCCATATTCATGTTCTTTCCGCGGTTGGCTTCACCAACTGGCGGGGGAATTTCGAACAACTAATGCACATTGGACAAACTCCGTTGGGTGAAGCCCTTTGGGGCTGGGGTCTGGAAGTGTTCGCCCGACCCAAATGGTGGCAAACGGAGGTGAAGAGTCAAGATAGCTCAGGTTCATGGTGAACTGCGTGGCAAACCACTGTGAAACTGCAGCTCGCAAAAAACGTCTGACCTGTGGCCCTTCTACCCGTGACCTCCCAGAAATGCCTGTTCGACCAGTCGCTTTTTCCTGATGGTGATCAAGACCAGCTCTGCTGTGTTCCATGTTACTGAAACATGTCAGGTGTCATGTTGAGGGTCATGGGATCTGATTGCATGGACTACCTCAAATGGAATCTTGGTATCATTTGATATATGAAAACAACGGCTAACACCAGTGGTTTGCCCGTATTGCTTGACATCACAAAAGCTTGGTTGACGTTGGAAGGGGAGTAACAATTTAAACTTTAGGAGGTAAGTGGGGATTTCCCACACTAAACCACAACAAGCAAAAATGTAAGATGTTTCCCAACAACAACCATGACAAAAGCGTGGGGCGCCAACCCCCCAAGTCCCACATTGAGCGTAGGCACCGCGCCATGCCTTCGACTGAAGGATCGAAGGCGAGCCATGGCTCAATCGCCCGGATGGATCCGCGGAGGTGCTACAAAGCTGAGACAGGTACAGAGTCGCAATCGACACTTTGTACCCCCGATATATATCTTTAACCAAGAAACTGGACCAGAAACCAATAAAGTTCCCCCCCACACACAGGGATGGAAAAGAAAAAACCGCCAAAATCCTGGAGGCGTCTACAGCAAGCCCATGACGTACAAAGCAACTAAAGAGCAAATAGGAGGATTGCGCGTTCTATGTGGGAATGACCGAGTCTGACAGGTTCTACCCTCAGGCAATTCCATGGAAGCTCCCGGGGCTCCTGATCAATATTTCTGTCTCTGGAAAACAAGTTTCTGTCGTTTGCTCGATGTCGTTTGTTCGATGTGGTTTCTATCAAATCACGCCGCAAAGAACACGTCCGAAGTTGGCCGCTCGTGACCTTTCCTCCTTCTCCATGGCCTCACCGCTGGGTCCCGCAGCTGGCCACAGCTCGCAGTGCGGCCACTCCTCCTCGCGCATCCGCCGGAGCACCGCGGAATCCTCGTCGTCGGGGCTCCCATCTGCGCCCAGCCTGCCAGCGATGGAAAGCCGCCTGGTGGGGAACTCGCGAGGGAACTCCTCTTAGCTTTCCCCTTGAGAGGAGTCTCCTTGCAGGTCCGCGCATCTCCTGGATCTTTGAGTTTCTAATATGTATTCTCATTCTACATGCATTCCACCTGGGCTCTTCAAAATGAAGAGCTGGCGACTCCTAACAATCAATGACTTGGCGGAACACCAACCAATCCTGGCCCAAATGGTCATAGGACATGAATCCCCATGTCAATAATGTTTACCAAAAGGTCCCCTTCTCCACTTTTGATGCCCATCCCCAATGGCCGTTTTGCCTGGTAATATCCTTCAGCCGCATTTGTGTTTCCAAATGCATTTCCTTAAAAAAATGGTTGCCGTTGGAAGGGGAGCAAAAGTTTACATTTTTGCAGGTAAGTGGTTGGATTTTCCACAAACTAAACCACACCAAGCAAAAATCCCAACATTAACCATGATTTCCTTCAAAGGGGACGCCGCTGCTGTGCAGCGGCAGGGGGCCGCGGACACGGCGCCGCGCACGGCCGCGCCTCGGCACTGGCACCAGGCGCCACCGCGCCGGCAGCTTCTCCCGCAGCGCCGCGGCCGCCTCTTCCGCCACCACGCCTCAAGCGGAAGCGGCGCGCGCGCCGACGCGCGAGGCGCCGTTTTGATGGTGATGGTCGCACAGGGGAAGCGAAAAACAATCCACTTAGGGTGGGTCCGCTCTTGAAAAAAAAGGACAAATATCAAATCCGAGGGCCGGGTTGGAGCTTTGGGGACCCAAGTTTTTTGTGGGTCAAACAAAGGTAGGCAAAATGAAATGCTGGTAAGTGGAAAGAAGGACTGAAACCTGCGGTCCCCCTGGTGGTATAATTTTGACTCATAACCAAGTGACATGGAAAGCAGTCGGTTCCTCAACGTTCCCATGCAGAGGGGCCTCTCGTTCTTCATGCCCAGCTGGCCTCTATGTAATAGTTCGCTTCCATAGCAAAGGGGCCCATGGCACCTAACATAAGGTTTTAACGAAAACGTGTCCCAACACTTCCATTTGGTTAAGACCCCCGGAAAAAAAGAAAGAAAAGAAAACTACTTCCAGTAGCGAACTCGATTCCCGTTAAAAAACAACAGGGGAGAATAATAAAAACATATCCATGCCAGCAACAAGAACATGCATGGCCCAGGCAGAGTCCAATGGTTTCCTCCTCCCCGGCTCCATGCTGCGACCTTCGATCCCAGGCCTCCACCTCCCAGGCACAGGACCTGGGACGCCTTCGTCAGGCGCAGCGCCTCCACTCCCAGCCGCACCCAGCTGTCGTCGCTGCCCATCTCCATACCTGGCGGAGGGGGCTGGGACGGGGGGGGGGTCCAAAAGAAGCGCCCAACATGGCACCGCGCGAGGCACATGGAACCAAAGACGAAAGCCCGCGGTGTGCCCCAAATGTTTGATGTTGTCTTTTCCATTTGCAAGCTGCTTTGTTGGTGCATGTTTTGAGGCACAGCCGCAATAATGGTGTGGGTCAAATACTTCAAAAGTGGGTTCTCTGCTGTCAGGCCTGGCAAGGCCCCTGGAAGCCAGCTCTGATGAAGGCGACGCCAAGAAATTTGTTTCTACATGGAGCGGGTGGCTTGCCTTCCAATCCCCCCCCCCCCCCCCGCCGCCCCACCCCTTCCCCGCCCCCCACCCCACCCCTTCCCCCTTCCCCTTTCCCCCCCCCCCCCCCCCGACACAAAAAAACACACAAAAAACAAACAAACACCATGAGGTCGAATGTCAATCAGGGTTCCTGAATGTTGCTTATATGCCCACCACAGGAAGGAGCACACAAGGTGTCATTTGTGCTGACGCTACCTGGTTTCAATTGAGCCAAACGAAAATCAACGAGAAACCCTGGAGCCCACAAAACGGATTGTCCAGGTTGGTGTCTCCTTTGGAAAGGATTCGGTCCGCCCAAAATGGTTGGTTTCCTGTGTTCGTCGCTTCAAACCACAAAAAAAGACCCGTACCAACTCCAGAAATCACGGAATAAGCCCCAACACTCACAACAAACCACACCACCGAGTAGTTACCCTCAACAAAGACAGCCCCCTCTTCGGCTTTTCCCCTTTGCATCTGCCCTCCAAAATCCGGAGAAATCGTCAAATCGCCGGCACCTGGCGGCTCCTCCAGCAGCACCAGGCGCAGTTTCGCCGCGAAGCGGCCGCCTGCGGCCCGCGGCTCCCAGGAGCTGCGGAAGGCGCGGGCGAGGCTCCGCCAGTAGAAGGCCACTACGGACACTCGGTGCGCCGAGGCCACCTGGGTCTTCGGGTTGCTAGAGCCAGCTTGGAGTATACAACCTTCGGGTTCAGCTACCACCATAGCAAAAAGGAAAAACACAAAAAAACACTGGTTGGGGTATAGAACCACCCTTGTTTGCCTAACGAATGTCATCACCCAAATTGGACCACACCGGAGAAACCGACAGGCTGAAAGGTCAGCTTTGGCAAGTGAGGTCTGACCTCGGTTGACGTTGGAAAGGGAGCAAAAAATCAACTTGTAGCAGTTAAGTGGTTGGATTTCAACCACTAAACCACAATAAGCAAGAATAAGCAAAATGTTTCCCAACGACAACCATGCAATGTCGGATGGCACAATTACATTGGGACCTTTCAGGGACCAATCCTCCAGGTATCCTATGCCACGATGGTGGGGAGGGTAAAGGGAGGTAACCCACCCACCTGAGACACAATCAAAACCTGGTACAAAAATGATGAATTTAGAACCATGTCGGGAATTGAAAAGGCGGATATCCGCAACCAATGGCTGGGATTGCCCCTTACTAACCTTCATTTGGGTTTTGATTGTGACTCACCTGAAAGGCCAACGGTCGAGCGTCAGCGTTGCCCTAGGAAGATGGTGCTGTCTCAGTTGGGGACCCCTGTTGGGACGGGTGTAAAGGGAAGCCAAAAGGAAAACTTGGCGTTTCTGAAAAGAATGAGGGAAGTGTCCTTTTGGTTGCTGAAAACTACTTTAACAAGGGGACCCCTTATTTTGAGAAACATCCAACTGAGCGTGGCATAAGCGTGGCCCTGGAATGAAGATGTCCAAAGAAATTTCTCTCTGTCTCAAATCGGGGGGTTCGGACGCGTTTTGGGACCGGCAAAAGCCACAAGGGAACCACCTGGAGCCTTGCTTTTTGGGCACAGTCAAAGCAGCTCAACCCTGAAACCTGAATTCCTAGTCTTGGCACCTGAGTCAAAATCAAAACCTGGTATACACATGGTTGACCCAGAACCATGCTTCTAGAATTGAGAAGGCGGCCGCTGCCTTGTCCAGGATGCGCGTGAAGCTGTCCTGGAAAAGCTGATCAAAGGGGTTCGTTCCAAAGGCGGGGCGCTTCCACTTCCCAAGTCGGCGAGCCACTGTGTTCTGACAAAAACGTGGATGGACAGCTATGGGAACTCTCGGTAAAAGACAAGGATCCTTACACTATACACCTGAACATTGCCTTGTCAATGGTGGTTTCCCCTTATTTTGGTGGAAAAAAAAAACATTTTTTCAACTGGTTGCACAAGCCATGGCACTGTGAATTATTCATTTCCGCTGAGGGCGCCTGTTGCTTTGACTCTGCAGATTGCGTGGACCAACAGGCAACAATAGAGAAAGTGACTCCTAGCGTGATGGTTCTTCGGGTTGCTAGAGCCAGCTTGGAGTATAACAACCTTTGGGTTCAGCTACCACCATTAAAAAAAAGAAAAAAACATGGTCGGGCAATAGAACCACCCTTGTTTACCTAACGAATGTCATCACCCAAATTGGACCACACCAGTAACAGTCAAAAAAGGTCAGCTTTGGGCAATTGAGGTATCAATGACCTTGCTTGACGTTGGAAGGCGAGCACAAATTCAATTTTAGCAGGTAAGTGGTTGGATTTCAACCCCTAAACCACAGTAAGCAAAAATCAGCATGTGACAAGGCGTCCAGTTTCGCTTTCGCATTCTGACAGGTCGCCTCTGCAAACTCGTCGCCGTCCCAGACCATCACACCAGAGGGGCCCAGCGCGTCCAGCAGCAACTGCACGAGGCTCTCATCTGCGCCTCAGGTTTCACGGATTGGAGCCTTGGAACCTGACTAGATTTCATGGAATTAACCAGGGGTTCAGGAATTCATCATGAAATTTTCATGAGTTCCTGAAAAACTGGTGAATTCATAGTGGGGCGGAACTCGTTGAAGATCGCTTCAACTTTGGGAGACAGCCCCTATTGGTTTGTGCGAGTAATTGTTCAAGTTAAGCGCCCTATATGTTGATTTCGTTGATGTAAAGCGAGCGAAGCGAATCAAACGACTGACTCGGTGTCCACGTTTCTTTCAGGAACAGGAAGTTGATTCAGGCACCATACCCAAATTCACCAACTTCATGCATGAATCAGTAAGTCAATTTGCTCACTTTCTTCAAGTCTCGTCTTCTTGCGTGTCTTCTATCAAGGTTGCCACGTTTTGGCAGTTTGAAAGGGAAAGCGAACAAGGAAAACCGCAATTTTACCTCACTGCTTTCGTTTGGGTGGGTGGGTGCCCCCAAAAAAAGACACACCCTCTTGTAGGCCTTGTGTCCTGGAGAGGCACCGGCCCTCGCAACCTGAGCCCGGCGCAAAGATCATCACCTGGGAAGCGCCCGCGGCCAAAGCCCTGGCAGCGCATCTCTCAGCCCTTCCTCCCACGTTGCCCTGGCACCGCATCACAACGGGGCCCTTGTTGGGAACGATTCAAAAAAGTGCCCGAAAGGGCACTGAACACGCGAGACATTCTTTTCGGCGGGGCCAGTGATGGCCGGCACACCTGGCCTTCTGGACTCTGAACTTTCCCGCCTGCGCTATCCTCAGCTAACTGGCCCATGCTGTTTGATTTCATGTTCTGGTATCGAAAGGAGAGGCTCCCAAGTGTAGTATTCTCCAACATGGTTGCCCCGCAAAAGAGGTTGCCAACCCAAAATCGCCCGAGTGGAACACCCCCCCCAAATTCCCCCGCCTTGAGGTGAACCACCTGCCCATTGGTCAAGCACTGGGGCAGGCAAGCTGCAGTGGTGACCTGACCCAGCTTTTCACTTGTTGGGGTTCACTTTGGGATCTGGGATAGGGTCCTGACTTTGAGCGTCCAAGAAAGAGATACTGCCAAGGTTTGAAAGGAGCAAAAAGGCGCGCCATGCCGGGCAACCCATTGGAACATTACGGGGCAGGGCCCCCTCCAAAAGCAACGGATTGATTGAACAGGACTAACATTATCTCGCTTCAGAAAATCGTGTTGGCAAATCCCAATCCATAGTCCGTGTTGGAAACCACTCCAAAGGGCCCACTTCCAGCACTTGCAAAAGCCATGCGCTCGTCTCCCGACATGTCCACAAGCCCGCGGATCAAACCCTCCACCAATTTCTGGCAGAAATTTTCCAACCCAAGATGAAACATGTCCCCCCAACGAAGGAAAAAAGTGAAGTTTATGAGACCGACTCAAAAAAGGTGAAGAGGTCGGCTTCCTGGCAAAGTCCAACTAGATGCAACTGGCTTTTGGCCCTAGGTCCGCCCAGCAAAGCGCTTCACAGCGGACAGGAAAACTCTCCCCTCCCCAAAAACGGCAAATTGAATTGGACAATTGGGGGTTGGTCCTCCCTCCCTCTATTCCCTGAATGGGGCTTAGGGACCCTGGACAGGGTGGTTTCTCTTCGTGTGTTCCTTTTTGCTTCCCAAGCCCACCCAAAAGCAAGATACCCTCAAACACGACCAGCCGGAGAAGGGCCCCACCTCTTTTTTCAGGAAATGGAGCTATCCCAGCTCCGCCCCTCCCAGCAAACAACTATTCTACATGACTTGTCAGCTTCTCATTTGGGGGTGGCTATCTTTAGGATTCGGAGCCCAACCTGGCGCAACGGTCTTCCTTTGGGTGCCCTCGTGGCGCACCGCTTAAAAGAGATGTCCCTTGCCTCCATGCGAATCGGCTAGGGCCACGCCATGGCTCCGTCTCAGCTTTTGGGGGGCTTATGCTCTACCCAGGTTGAGAGACCTCCTGACTCAACTGGACACATCGAATCGATGTTTCTTCTGGCCGGGGAAATGGGGAATAAAACCCGACCTAAGACGGTGGAGCGCACCTGTGTGTCCAACGCAACTGACCTAAAATGGACCCACAGCCATTCCCTGAGTTTTGTTGGCGTTTTTGAAAAGGAGGAGTGGGAAAACAGCTAAAGCCAAACTGGGCGTGCTTCATAGCATCCAGGCGGTGGCAGCTGTGTAGGACTCAATGATTTCTTGTTGGAGCATATGGGAGGAGGGTATAGAAAAACGACCGCAAACTGTTCCATTGCCCCCCACCCCCCCCCGAAACAAGGGACAAGGGAACATGAGCCTGATACATGTGCCCGATTCTTTAGCACCAGAGCTTGCCGCGCCTTGTGCTGAACGCGCATATTTGTGTTGGAACTCTGGTGAAGCCGATGGACGATGAATCTCTCAGATATGAAATGCCGGGCACTTTTTGCATTTCTCCCGGCTTGCTTTGTACAGGCGCGCGCGTTTCTGGCTTAGGCCAGACCGGGCGCGGACGCGAAGCGCAGCAAGACCTCCAGCTGGTGCGCCTTGGTCTCCTCCGCGCTGAACTTCACGCTGAACTTCAGGGCCATGGCCATGAAGAAGACCCACGGCCTCGAGCCGGACTCGGACTCGGACGCGGAGGCCCGGAAGCGGAGCTGCAGCATGAGCTTGTTCCTCAGCCCAGTGTCTTTATTCCCGGAAATGGGAGGTGATCACCGTCTGGGGCCAGGACCAAAATACGGGGAACAACTAATAAGAAAAACAGCAAACAGTCAAACATGCCCCTTTTAAAAACCTTGGCGCATTATAGAAAGTGGCGTTCCTTTTTCTCCCTTGTTTGCCCTGGCTTTCCCTTTACTACACAAGAAACAAACAACTAAAAATAGATTTTCCCCTGTTTCCCCTGGCTTTCCCTCTGCTACACCCAAAAAAAGAAGAAGAAAAACACAAAACAAAAACCGCCAGGCTTGCTTGCCCTCTCTTTGTCCAACACCAGGAAAAAACACAACAACAACACAAACAAACAAAACACGGTCGGCTTTTTGGTTTCCTGCGGAGAGCTTCAGCTTTCGCTGCTGGATGGCCTCTGGGTCGCTCTGCCTCAGCTTCTGGGCCTCCTCCTCGAAGACTTCCGCGGCCTCGCTGTCCACGAACTTGGGGAGCACCGTGGAAAAGGCCGGCGTCAGGACCTGGAAGGGGTCGCCCCAAAACGGGGCTGAAGGGGAGGCACCCAGATCGCCAGCGGCGATCGTTTTTTTGTTTCTCCTTTTTTTTTCTTTCTCTTTTTGTTCTCTCTCTCCAGGCACTTCACCCCCGAAAACCAGCAACAGTGACTGAAAAAAGCAGCAACTTGGCTATCTAGGTAGAGAGGAGAGAAGGGTGAGAGAGAGAATAACTCGTCACTAAAGCCACAAAAAGGTTTGGTGTGTTAAAAGAGCTACCTGCAATTTTCTGGTGGTTTGCTTAGGTGGCTCGTCTTGACCCATCGGTGCGAGAGATGCCTTGGGAATGAGAAATGGAATGACCCCGAGAAAAGTGGAATGCCAAAGCCTGGATTCATTCCTACATTCCCGGATCACCAGCAAGAAAATGGCTTGGTGTATCATCAGCTGCCCTCACTGATTGGTGGTTTGGAGCCGAATCGGTGGTTTGGTGATTGACGAGGGGTAAACCCCATGTACGCTTTACAAGAACCAGGGGTTTAACTCTCACCAATTCAATCCACCAACTAGGGGGAACCTTGATCTTTTGGCTTCCTTTGCTTTACAACCCAAACGGTATGGGTAAGCAACAACAGACTGTTTTTTTTGCAGCCCTCATAAACAGGAACAAAACCAACACATCAATCAAGCTGTTCGTAACTTGCCAACAACGGTGGAGTTTAAAGCCACCAACATCCACCCAAAAATGTACTTTCAGAAATGGGGGGTGCCCCTTTTGGGCCGGGGGGAGCCGAAATGAAAGCAAGCAACTTGGAGGCTTGCCCTATTTCGAGAGATGCGCAAGCGAACCAGACCCGGATCCCCGAGCCCAACCAAAGTCGAAACTGAACATCTGGCAACACGTTGGGATGTTTTGCTAAACGCTTAACTTTTGGTGGGTCAGATGGACACCGCCACTAAACCCAAAAAAGCTAAAAACCTTCGGGGATGGCTGCAAAAACGCGCTTTGAGAGCCTTGACCCCACCTCCACGTTCTGGCGGCCCAAGAGGTCCTCCCAAGCAGCACCAGCATAGCGCGAAGCCTCGCGTGGAGCGGTGCTGTTGAAGGCGCCCGGGTCCAAATGCAGCTCCACGTCCGTCTCCATGGGGTTCGCCAGGATCAGCAGCAGCTCGAAGTTCCCATCTTCTTCCTCCCACTCGCAACGTGAACATGAATCTGTTGGAACCGACCGTGGCCACACGTGAAACAGAACTAGAAGATCAAAACTATGCATAGAAACAATCATGACAACTCCACATGAAACAAGCGTGGACGACCCAAAATCAGAAAAAGGACAGACATCACACTTGGAACACCAAAAACGCATGAAACCACTCGACGGCCACCTCAAAGCGCTCAAACATCGAAAGCTCTTTTCCAAGTCATTCTTGTAGGGCTAACTCCCCCATTCTTTCCAGGGATCCGAATCTTTCTAGAACACCCCCCCCCCCCCCAAAAAAAAAAAAAGGGAAACGGATCCGGTTTTTGAAAAGACGGATGGCTGAGAAGAATGGACCAGGAATCAAGCAGTAGAATTCGAATCTTCGGTCCTTACAGGCCCAGGGCAAGCACCTGGGCACGAAGCTCACGGCCATGGAGTTCTTCTGGAAGGGCGGGTTGGCGCAAGGGTTGATCTGGGGCTTCACCACCAGGCCCTTGCAGGGCTTCAGGTTCTCCTGACCCAGGAAAACCAAGGCATAGCACACATGCCCCTTCTAGATGAACAAGACACCCTGCATGTTTTGACTTCATATAATTGTGGGGATTAAAATTCGTAAGCTGGCTGATGAATAGATGAAAACAAAAACAACCTGCAAAAAAATGAGCCCAGATTCTTAAGTCCCTGGTTGATTCATATCCCCGTTCGTGGGGAGTCAGACCACTTTTAGAGGACACCCCCTAGTAGGAGTAGTTTCTTCAGGGGTCAAGATTCGACGATTCCGCAACTTTCATCAAGTCTGATCCAACCGACTCCGACGCGGTTCAAATAATCGGAATCGGCCAAGCGGCCGTACGATTGGAGACTTGAACATGGATCACCTACCTCCGTAAAGAAGCCTCAAGATGGGCGATTCTTCGAACCTGCGCTGCACTTAAACACTTCGCGCGCGGGTCAGTTGAAGGCGTTGCACCAAATCCAGGGGTTTTTGGTTGCTATCATTTCTACCGATCTCCCCAATCAGCTCGTTGAAAGGGAACCCAGCTGAAATTTGACCCCATATTCTTCAGCATAAATTTCACCCCATAATTTGACCCCAGCACTCCAGGTTTTCGTTCCGGTCCTTCCCCTCCTTCGCTTCCGGCACTAGCAGCTTGCAGCGCCTGGAGCGCTTGGTGAGCAGGGGCTTCCGAACCGGCAGCAGCTTCCAGGCGTGCCTCAGCGTTCGCTACAAAAACGCGAGCAGCTCCTCGTTTTTCTCCTTTTTTCTGTTTGCTTGTTCGTTCAGGGCTGTGGGGAATGGAACCCACTTCTGTGATACAACAGAAAGGGCCAGCCCCAAAGATTATTTTGCTAATAGAAAGGGGGATTCCCTTGCATCACAGTGGGGAGAAACACCCTTTGATCCCACAACCCTGGTTCAGGTTAACATGGAACCCACAAAAAACACTTGATAGTTCAGGAGAACAAGCTTTCACCGAACGGCTCAGCTCCGTGGTGTTTGTTTTTCTTTGTCTGCTGGTTCATTCAAGGTAACATGGGGTTCCCACTAAAAACACGGCATGTAGCTTTCCTCCAAGGACTCCAGGTTCACGTGGAACCCACAAAAACCAAACGCCATCTTCGACATTCAATTTTCTTTTCGAAGCCCTCCTCTTCTGGGTTCCGGGTTACTTTGCCGGAGTGTAATTCAAAAATAAATCGCCAAAATAGGAGAGACAACCCAACCAAACTCGGTCCCCTGCTAAAGTGAATAAAATTTAGTGGTTTAATACGGAAAACCCATGAGTTGGCAAAAAGTTAAAGTCCTAACATCCAAGCAAATGCACCCAACAAAACAGAGTGAGTGACTGCAACCGGGATGCCGGTGCTGCAGGGGTGCCTCCAGCTGACTCTGGCCCCTCCGCAGCCTGGGTTTACATCGCGCCAACGAGTGCGGCAAGGGCTCCCGAGTGCGTTTTCGTTGCTGGTGCGATAAGTAGGGAATGGAGTGCCAGGGGATTCCCTTCAAGGAAACCAGATGGAGGTCATTCCATTTCTCATGCCCTGCTGAGCACCGGCAAATCCCCCCTCAAATGAAACCAACACCAGCTGTCCAAGGGAAGCGGGTCGCATGGCCCTTGGTTTGCCGGGCGCGTGGCCCTCTACAGAGTCAGCTTTGGTGATTTGGAGCCCGGCGGGTTGGAGGTTTCGCGGTTTACCCTCTGCAAGAGAAAGGGGGTCAAATCCCCAAAGCACCAATCCAAACCACCAACTAATAACTAAGGCTTGCCCGTTGTTGGGAACCTGGTTGAGGAAAAAAAAGAAAAAACAGCTGGACATAAATCCATACCTGATCAATCCAAACCACCAATCCGGATCAAGTGGGCGAGCCTGAGCTCCTGGGCAAGTCATCGGTCGAACTGAGGCAGAAACCCTTTGGCCGCAGATCCATCCACGGACACACCGTGGTACCCATAAGCCACCTGCAGGGGGGGTCGTTCTCAGCAGGGAATGAGTTGGCAGGACCCTAAAACCCATCCCCTATGGCTTGCTTTAAGGGAATCCCAGGTTCAGTTTCCAAACCCGGACTCGGTCATTCCCTACTAAGCGCCGGCAAGAGAATTGGTCCGCACAAATTGGCCCAGAAAGTTGTGCACTCATCTCTTGCCAAGTGGATCGTGTTTGCAGCGAGAGAAGGGGCTTTTATCGGAGGCCTGACCTGCTGCAGGCGCATGCTCAGGGATGCGCAGTCGCCCCGCTGCTGCGAACTGTGGCCGACATCCTCGATGCTACTCCTCAGCAAGCTTAAACAACAAGCTGCATTTCAAAATGAGATGGGGCTATGTGGTTTCCACACCACCCCGAGAGCGCGCCGTCAGACCAAAAACCTTGCCCGTGCCCTATGGGCATCCATGTGCGGTCACACAAGGATCTGTGCAACGGTAGGGCTCGTTTTCTGAGAAAGCCTGGACAAGTCAAAACACAAATGTCTTCATCTTTCATGCAATGGCCTCTCGAACACCTCCTAACTCATACTCTCCCTCTGCTACCGTCCATGGTGCAAGTAAAGGCCCCACGCAACCCCATGTACAGAAGAAATATCGACAAACCAAAGCCGCAATATGCTCGGCATTTTCCTCAGCCAAGCGGGACCTCACCAAACCTCCGCCTGGGTGCACCTTTTGACTCGATGCATCCCTCTGCGCGTTTTCTTCCCGCCGCTTGGAGTCCAGAGCTTGCACAAGCGGTGTGTCGCACTGGTTATGTGAAGGGGCTAGTAGAGCCCAATATGAATACTGAAAACGACGGGTGAACCACCAGTTAACAGGCAAAAGTTCCCGAAATCAAAAGGTGGATGAGAGAGTGGCTTTCCTGTCAGTCCACACATCTTCGCTCCGAAGAGCCCTATCCACTCTCGCCCATTCTCTCTCGCAGAGAGGACTAGACAACAGATGGAGGTGAGACCCAGAGACCCAGAGACCCTTCCTGCGCATCTTCATTTGTACTTCCTTTGGCTCGAAAATCTGAGTGGCCGAAGGAAAGAGATGGCACTCATCTCTTTTTACCGTTCCATCCTTCGTGTCTACGCCCTAAACTTGTACTGAAACGTGGTTCTGCCGGAAAATCGATTTGTGAGAGAAGGGAGTCTAATTTAACGAGAGGGCTGGATTTTGAAATAAGTGCGGAAATAACCTTCCCTCTTAAATGAGGAGAACCAAAAAAAAACACCCCTTGCAAGAGCGCATTTTCCTGAAATTTGCCGCCCAGCATCTCCAGATGCGCGGGCGTTGTTGGCTGGTTGGCTCGTTGGTTGGTTGTTCGGATGGATGGACGGTTGGTTGCCTGGTTGGGTGCATGGGTGGCTCAGTCGGGTTGAATTGGGTTGGGTTGTTCGGGTGGCTGGCTGGATCGCTGGCTGGTTGGTTGGCTGGTTGCTTGCTTGGGGGATTTGGGGGTGGGTTCAGGCGAATTGAGCACGGTGCACAAGACTCCGGCCCATTCATTTGCTTGAACTGCAGATTTCTCGCCTAGTTGCACCCCGCTCCCAGGAAGACCCAATGTCGAGTTTCGCTTCAAAATGCCGCACCAAAATACGGCTTGGCTAAGTTCCTGCCGATTTCCTGGAACAGCGCGTCCTCCTTCCCGAACAACAATTGACAAATCGGTGTGGGTCAATCATAGGTACCCAAAATGGGTTACCTTTTAAATGGAAACATGCATATCCTGGTGCCGTAATTTTATGTAGTTTTGACCCATACCCATGTGAACTTGCTGAGTAGTCCCCTTTTTTTTACTGTTAGGTTGATATGGGCATGTCATTCCCTTTGCTAGAGTCGATGATCGTGAATACTAACCGTTTCATGTTGTGGACATTCCCCCTTCCCATACCCCAACCCCACCCCCACCCCCCAATGCTGACCCCAACTAAATCAACCCCAGCCAATCGTCATGGCCATGAATTCTATTAAGGAACCACCTCCCAAGTGGATGGTGGACAAAAAAAACGCCTTAAATGGTGTCCACCACAGGGTCCCTTGTTAACTGAGATGCCCAGTGGCCATGGGAACGAAGGGCACCCTTTTTTGTTGGTGGAGTTTAAAGGGGAACCCATTCCTAAAAAGAAAGGGGAAATAGGGCGCCACTGGGCAACAGAGTAAAGGAGTCTACCCAAAACCAAGTAAAGAATCCGAAGGGCGCTCGCCTGCCACACCCATTTATGGTTGGGCTTGTCCCCTTGCCAACCTTCAACTGCCAAAGTTAAACATCACACCGCACCCAACTGATCGTCCAGCTTGGCGTCTGGAGCTCGTCCAGCAGGCTTCGGCCATTGACCTTCTCCCGATGAGCGCTGAGTAGCTCGCCCACCGAAAGGCCCGCCATCACCGGCACGGCCGTGGCACCAGCGCTGAAGCTAAAGCGCTTGCTGGGGCTGTCCTAAACGTGAGGGGCATGGCGTGTCCAGTTCGGTATCCTCTTTTTCTGGTTGGGAAATTCCGCCGTTTTCCCGGTTTTTGTGCGGGAAATATGTCCAGTTCGGTATTTTTCTGGTTGGGGAATCCGTTCAATCCGTTTTGCCGGTTTTTGTGCCCCTTGGGGAAACCAAACGAATTTTGAACAACCCCCCCCTCCCCCGGTCCGTTCCCGAATTCCCTCCTGCAGCTCTGGCGGGGGCTCCGGGGTCTCCTTGGCCTTGGCCGCCAAGTCCAGGGCCTGAAGAGCCCCCCTAGGAGGTTTAAACCACACACAGGTTTGTTTTGGAGGGTTTGAATTACCCCACGTTGGATCCCGAAACATGTTGAAGCTGCAAAGTAAAAGAGGCTGAAAGGTTGAACAGGGTGGGGGAGGGTTGACGTTTTGGCGCCCTTTGCTTTACTTCCTCGTTTTCGGGCGAATTCGCCTCTGCCCGCAGGTCCAGGCTCTTGGCGGACTGCTCCGCCAGCTTCTCCTCGAGATCTTCCACGCCCCAGGGCCCAGCCTTCTTGGCCAGCTCCCCTGCGCGAGGCTTCGGTTCAGAGAGAGGTTAATGCCGTGACTGGGGCGTTGCTTGCCGTACCTAAACATCACACTCAGTGCGTCAAGCCTTGTACAGATCACGCGCAGGCGAACGCCTTCAAGAGAGAGAGAGAGAGCGAAAGCCATCTCAATTAGCTCCAGCGCTACATACATTCCAACTAATTTTCCCTGAATAAGTATTGCAGCGTCTCAGCTTGTGTCAGATAATATCTAAAAACATAACAACTCTAGGCTCAAATGGTCAAAAACGTTCCGCTGAAAGAACATGTTTTGGGAACAGCATAGAAAAATCAACTGGAAACCCAGCCACCTCTTCCACGCTCATCGTCCATTTGCATCTGTGTAACAACTTTAGGCTCAAAAGCGCCTGGCTAGAATCTGGTTAGAAACAATCAACAGGGGTACCCGAAAAAATCCACCGGGGGCCAACCCACCTCCTCGAACGCTCATCGTCCATTTGCATCCCCGCCATCAAAAGCTCCCGGCTAGAATCTGCTTTGGGAACTGCTTAGAAAATCCACCGGGGGCCAACAACCACCTCCCCCCACGCTCCAAACCATTCGCATCGACCCCGCCTGGGGATCCGCCAAAGGACGGCGCCATGGAGAGCCGTGCCCCGGAGCGCATCTGCGCGGCCGAGCTGAAGCGCCGGGCCGCCAGCGCCGTCAGAGACGCCGCCTCGGGGAGGAAGGGGGCGGCTTAAAAACATTTAAAAACCAAACCCGCCCAGAAAATGGAAACCGCCCCCCTCAGCAAACTAGACCACGGTTGGCCCGAAAGCAGAACATCGCAAGCGAGGTCGGCCCAACGCTGCAGGATGCGTTCTTTTTCCCTACACTTCGTGAAGCAAGCGCGAGACAGCACCAGGCAAGGTGCTCTGCGCAAACTGGTCGGTGCAAGTTGGTCTGCGCAAGTTGCTCTACGCAAGTTGCACTGTGCAAGTTGCTCTGCGCAAGTTGCTCCGCGCAAGTTGCTCCGGCAAGTTGGTCCCTGCAAGTGGCTCCCTGCAAGTTGCTCTGTGCAAATTGCGCTCCCTGCAAGTTGCTCTGTGCAAGCTGCTCTGTGCAAGTTGCTCTGTGCAAGTTGCTCTGCGTAAGTTGCTCTGCGCAAGTTGCTCTAGGCAAGGCGCTCTGCGCAAACTGGTCGGTGCAAGTTGGTCTGCGCAAGTTGCTCTGTGCAACTTGCTCTGCGCAAGTTGCTCTGCGCAAGTTGCTTTAAAATGCAAGTTGCATCTTGCGACGCCCGCCCGCGGACCAGGGAGGAATCGAACCCGCGACCCGCCGGTTCCGGGAGCAGGCGCGCGAACCACGAGACAACTCCCGAGGACCAGTTCGAACAACAAAAGTCGCAAAAAACCTTGAGTTTTTGCACCTCGACCACGCCGATTCCCGCAGAGGGTTGCGCGAGCACCGCAGAAATCGCAAAAAACCATGGGTTTTTGCACCTCGACCACGCCGATCCCCGCAGAGGGTCGCGCGAGCACCGCAGAAATCGCAAAAAACCATGGGTTTTTGCACCTCGACCACGCCGATCCCCGCAGAGGGTCGCGCGAGCAGTTAGAAATCGCAAAAAACCATGGGTTTTTGCACCTCGACCACGCCGATCCCCGCAGAGGGTCGCGCGAGCAGGCAGAAATCGCAAAAAACCATGGGTTTTTGCACCTCGACCACGCCGATCCCCGCAGAGGGTCGCGCGAGCAGGTTAGAAATCGCAAAAAACCATGGGTTTTTGCACCTCGACCACGCCGATCCCCGCAGAGGGTCGATTTTCGTGTAGTGTCGTCGGCACTACCCCGCCGCCCTAAGAAGAGATTTTAACTCCTCGCAAGTCAATTGCACTTGACTCCTTGCACTTGCAACTTGCACTTGACTCCTTGCTTGTTTCAAGGAGTCATTGCAAGGAGTCATTGCAAGGAGTCATTGCAAGGAGTCATGGCAAGGAGTCATTGCAAGGAGTCATTGCAAGGAGTCATTGCAAGGAGTCATTGCAAGGAGTCATTGCAAGGAGTCATTGCAAGGAGTCATTGCAAGGAGTCATGAGAGCCATTGCAAGTTGCAAGGAGCCAAGTGCATGGAGTCAAGTGCAAGTCGCAAGTGCACGGAGTTAAGTGCAAGTTGCAAGTGCAAGGAGCCAAGTGCAAGGAGCCAAGTGCAAGGAGCCAAGTGCATGGAGTCAAGTGCAAGTTGCAAGTGCATGGAGTCAAGTTGCAAGTGCATGGGGTCAAGTGCAGTTGCAAGTGCAAGGAGTCAAGTGCAAGTTGCAATCCTTGCCATGACTCCTTGCAATGACTCCTTGCAATGACTCCTTGCAATGACTCCTTGCAATGACTCCTTGCAATGACTCCTTGCATTGACTTTCATGATGATGATTCCTTGCAATGACACCTTGTAATGACTCTCATGAGAACAATTCAAGTGCACCCAGCGGAAGAACCCTTCGCCATGCTTTCGGGAAAAGAACGAGAAATGGAACTTGCGCAAGAAAGAAAGAGACATGGGAAGTGGCAAACAGAACTTCGTTTGCAGGAAACCATGAACCGAACCGTTTGATTTGACACGCAAACCACAGACGATCTTTCTGCCTGTGCCCGATGAACCTGATGGTTGGAAGTGGATTTGTCTTCAGTTGTGCTTTCTGGCCTGGCCAAAGGAAAAAGAACATGAAGGACTTTTTTTCGGGTATGTGTGGTATGGATTGGTGGTTTGGGATTGGATTTGAACCCCTGCTTCTTGCAGAGGCTAAATGACAATCAGCACCCCCACTAAGAAACTTGGGCATACTATTTGTTCCACTGGGTGAAGCGCGGGGGTTCAGCCCCTTTCGCAGTGGCTCAAAATTAATGAGCTAGGGTTACGCAGGTTTTTCTTCCATGTTTCCACTTACCGGGGCAAGCCATTTTGGCACTACTTTTTTTGAGCCACACCCATATGTGTCATTGCTAGGTTCTCCAGTAGAGAGGATAGAATAAGGGTACCATTTTTTCTGTAGTCTATTTTAGGGAAACCCTCCCAACCAAAAAAGGGGTGAGAAAGGGCACTACTGGGGGCCATTTCTTGGTTGCTGTTGGAAGGGGAGGAAACAATTCAATTCTAGCAGGTAAGTGGTTGGATTTCAACCACTAAACCACGATAAGTAAACATGTAAAATCTTGGTTGCTTTCTGCTCCCCTGCTAAAAGTTTAGCTTTTAGTGGTTTAATGGCGGAAAACCCATGAGTGAGCAAAAAGCTATTCAGTCCTAACATCCCTTGGCAAAATGCACCAACGAAATGCTTAAGTGGTTGGATTTCAACCACTAAACCACCATACGCAAAAAATGCAACATGTTTTCCAACAAGAACCACGATTTCTCCATCGAACACAAAGCTGCGGCGCCGGAAGCTGAACTGCCGCGCGGCGTTGAAGGAGGCGCGTGCGGAGCTGCGGCGCCGCAGGCGCTGCGCGAGCTCGCGCTCCCGCTGCTGCTCCTCGGGGTTTGGCTTGGCTTGATGGTGGGCTTCACGGGTTTGATTGGTTTCCTGGGCTTCATGGGCTTCATGGGCTTCATGGGTTTGATGGGTTTGTTGGGGACTGTTGGGAACAGGGATGCTTTGTAGCTTTTTGGTTGGGGTCGTGGCTCGACCCACTAGGTTCGGGAACTGAAAACGGGGGAGCCTTTTCCCATTGTTTAGCCAACCAGAGGATCTATCGGCTATCGATCTAGATTTGATTCCTCCCCAAAAGCATTTCGAAGGGTTCTTCAGCAAAACCACGGCGCCGATTGCGCACGTCAAGTTGCACAAGCAAGTTGCATGAGAGATTGCTTGAGCAAAATGCGCAAGCAAGTCAAAGGTTGCTAGAGTCTGCGAGCTCGGAAGTTTTCTTCGCGGTTGGCACGTGCGCTCTTTGAAGTTCCTCGGCCTCGGGCTCGAAGCTTGCTTGGTCTGGCTAAGCTTCGAATAGAACTCTTTTCCGTGCGAAAGAAGTGCGGGAAGTGCGCTGGAGCTCAAAATCGCGCACCCTGAGGCACAACAAGTAGAACACAATGCGCTGGCACAGCTCCGGCGAGCAAAACATCGAAATACGAATGCCGAGCGCGCGGTACACTTTCGAAGCTCCAGCTTGAACATCGCAAATGTTCAGTGCGAAAGTAGTATGCGAAGTACAGTTTCACAGCTCTGCCTCGCCTTTCCCTGAAAGTACTGCAAAGCTTTCTTGAGATAAAAAGCCGCCAGCCTTCTTGTGCAGAGCGAACGCTCGGCAAGATGCACCAAAGAACACGCAAAGCAAGCAGCACGAGGCGCAGACTTTAAGGCCGGCGGCAACCGGTGAGCCCGGTACATTCGCGCAAAGACATTGCACGAATGCTTTCGGGCCACCTGTCTTCGGTGCTCCTCTTTGAGGTTGCTTTGGAATGTGCAAACCACCTTAAATGAAAACCACCCAATCTTGGGGGTTACCCTATTTGGAGACAACCCATATTGAAATGTCGGATCATGTCGGATTGCGCCTGGGCCTTCATGCGGTAGGCTTCCAGCATGGTCATCATTCGCTGCCTTGGCTCGCTCTCCCGCTCCAGCGACACGATCTGCGTGATGAGCTGCTCCGGCTTTTCCGCCTCCGGAAGCCAGGGGATTCAAGGCCCAGAGCCCGGAGAAAACAAAAAACAGCTCAAGGGGAGAGAGCGGCCAACCGACCCTGGTTTAGAGACCCAATTTCCAGTGATGGACAGGAGAGTCAACATGTCTCATTTCCTAGCTCTTCACACTCTTGTAACAAATTGTTATCTGCAGGCAGTACAGTCCCAGCGCGAGCAACAAGCATCCCCCATGAGAAAAGTTACGCATAGAGCCAGCTCGAAATGGAAAAAAGGAAGGAGGCGATCTCAAAGGCAGCTGCGTGGGGTGCGCCCACGCACTTGGAGGATCTTTGCCGTGCATCTCATGTTCAAAAGTTGCAATTGATGGGCGGGCGCCGCTGAAACGTCGCCGCTCGTTTTTTGAGAATGTGCACTCTTTGAGTTTGATCCCCTTCGAAGGGCGATGTGTAAAAGGGGGCGTCCCTGAACCAGCCATCCAGCCAGCCAAGCAACCAACTGGATGTACATGTCCCATAAAAGTTAAATCCGCAAGGTGGGCCCCACATTTACAATTTAGCGTGAAAACCCCGGCCCCCAGATTGGATCACCTGCCCGGGCCTGGTTTTGTGTGGACATCTCTCGGCGCCAGTAACTTTGGCAGTCTCTTCCAAAATGGTTGAACCCCCGCGCTTCACCCGGTGGAAAAATCGTATGCCCAAGTTTTTTTGGGGGTGCTGATTGTCAGCTTCCCTCTATGGGTGACTTCGGGGTCAGCGGAGTGGTTTCCCATTTAGTGCAAATCCAATCCCAAAGCACCAATCCAAAACATAACTTAAGGGCTGCCCGAAAAAAGGGGTGAGAAGAAAAACAAAAAACGAAACGTGCTCCAACATGGTGGTCTTCGTGTTGAGCTGCCCTTTTTACCAACCAAACAAAGGTACACTCAACCACAAATCTCTGCAAGTTTTACTATTTTACTCTAAAAACTGAAGTAAGGGATCTCCAGGTAAAGGAGATCTTTCTCACGGCTTCCATTCCACGCATTCCACCCCCGACTCGCCCGATCGGACTCGGTGAGCTCCCGCTTTCAAAGCCCATGGCGGGCCTCCTGTCGGCCTTTGGAGCTCCAACCTTGGCTGTTGACCCTGCAAAAAATGTGAATCGCTTTTTGGTGGGTTTAGTGGAAAACCAATCTTGGCTTCAACCAAAGAAGGTAAAGTCTAAAGATCCGTTGCCCAGTAATGTTGACCCAGGATTAATAAACCCGTCCCACTATTACGGGGGTGTTCCCTGAATCCCCACTAAAAGGGGACACCCCCCTATTAATCAACCAGGGGTTTATTAATCCGGGGTTAACATTAGCAGGCAAGCAACGGCAGTAGCTGCACGCGAAGTGGTAGCTCTGCTCCTTGGAGGTGGTGGCGATGCAGGGCGTCAACGTGCCTCGGAACGTCGGGACTCGGGAACGCTCCGTCTGGACCCTAGGTGTTGCAAAGAAAAACAGATTGAACGTCGACATCCGCGAATTTTAGGGGATTTATGTTTTGGGTTTTTCAAAACACATGAGCCTGAGGTAGACATCTCCGTTTTTCGGAGACTTGCGTCGTTTACATCTAAAACACATGTGTTTGCATGAAATTGAGTGCATGCATGCGCGTAATATGAATAGATGCCTTCTCAAGGCAAGAGCGCAATGCAACATCTTCACCCAAAGAACACATGGATCAAACAAACAAACCCAAATCGGAGAGATCCTCCCTCAAGGCGCTGCCCCAAAAAAAGAAAATTGTGACAAACACATTGCATTTTGTACATCGTTCTCCCCCTCACACTTGGTGATTCCTCGCCAGGGCTTCGACTCTGATTCCTAGAGCGCGTTTTTGAGAAAGATTGGCCCTGGGGTTCGGTTACCAACGCGTTCACATAACCACCCTTGCTTACCGAAGGATTGTCATCATCCAAATTGGGTCGACCCTTCTTTTACTGGGGGTTGAACCCCAACATCGAGGGCTGGCAGGAAAGCGGCGCTTGGAAGCATGAGCCACACACGCAAAACAAAAAAGAAACATTGGAATGCGTACATCTATGCTAAAAATGAAACAGTGACAAAGATCCACACCAATAGCCAACACAACTGAACTTTGAAGCTGCAATGATGGCAGGCAAATAGGTTCTTTCACAAGGATTGCCACAATCACCGCGGCCCCATGGTCTAAAGACCAACCCCCCCAAAACCACATTTTGAGTCAGAAAGGGTACGCATAGCCACATGAAGGGGCAGTGCAACATAAAATCGTGGGGCATCCCATCAACCATTAAACCAATTTACCTACAAACACGCAACCATGCGCGCTATCTTGGCTGGAACCACTCTGTTTTTCAGGCCCTAGATTGTGAGCCTCTCTGCAACCAACGCCTAGTTCAACTCAAAACGTCCATGTCCACTGCCAATCATGTAAACCATAGCGTGGCTCGCTGCAGATCACGGACTGCGTTTGTCACAGCCCAAATGGAACTCCAACGATTTAAATGTTCTAGGATAATGCGCATTTGGAAAGGTGCTCATTTTTTTGGTTTGGCCTGGCAAGAAACCAGGCAAACTCTCTGTCTTTGTTTGGGCCCCCGTTGGCTGACCAGTCAAAATTTACGTGTAGAAGTGCGTGGCCTGCCAGCAAAATACAAACACGTCCTTCTGTGCCATTCCAGGCACTGGAACACACGGGGCACTCCCAGCACTTTGAGCAGCGCATCCCACACAGCATCGCTTCGCTGGAAGGCATATTCTCCAAGCAGTGTGGGCCTTGCTTGACCAGCGTGCCCTCAAAAAGGTGAATTATGTCTGACTTTGGAGGCAAAAAACGACCCCGTCCAGAAAACAAAATGCCACACCAAGGAACAATAATACGAGTCCACATCCTCCGCAAGGTCCCTGCGCGACACCACCCGCGAGCAGCCGTCGCAAAAGTACAGCGATGAAATCGGATATGCGGCGGGTTTGCTGATGCTCCCAGCCGAGGCATCGCCGCCCGCTATAAATTCCAGGGAAAACGGCGCATTTGGCTGGCTCGCGAGCCGGGGCCCGTCCGAATCATAATACATCTCCCGCTTTGCGGCAGCACTCTCAGAGCCAAAAAGATGCGCGCAACGGGTACGACACACAAACAAAATTGACTCACGTGCAGTGGGGAAAAGGCACACGCCGGCAAGCTCGCATTGCTAGCTTCGTGCTATTCATGGGGCATCGTGAACAGCTTCTTGTCCTGTGTTTGGGGGAAGGGCGCAGCAGGTAGAACATACTTCTTGGCACCGTGAGTCGGGAAGTCGGGAAACTTGAGAGAGGACAGACTGGCACATACTGGCACCATTTGCAAGAATTGCCGGAGCTGCCTTTTCATAAGCCTGCTTTAGGCAAGTCCTCTGTGTAGCCATCGATCCCCCTCCCCCCGTTGACATGCCAACCTTTCCTTGCAACTGGCAGCAATGTCCGGCCACAATCTTGACAAAACAAGTTTAAACCAACGGCAAATCATGCGGCCAGGCAATGTGTAACTCCAGCCTGGACAGAGTAGGACAATGTGCAACATGCACCCGTGGAACCATCCAATGATCATGTGCCATCAAAGAAATCAACTGCCCAGTCCTTCCATTGAGATTTTTTTTTAAATCTAGCTGGGGTGGGCCATCTTTATTAATCTCTTTGATTTCCCTATCTTTCTTTCCTTTCCCTTCAATTCCTTGCCAATTATGTCATCCATTCCTCGGCTCGGATTTCCCATGTAAAGTATTTTGAAGCGGCGCTTGTCCTTTCCATTTCCTTAAAATGTTCCCATGTCCTTTTCGATGTGCTCCTTTCGATTCCAGGCAGTTGCTTTTATTAATTTATTTATATTCTTTTGTTTTTAGAGTTTCTTTCAAATTCATCTCCATTCCCTTTCCATTTCTTTCCATGAATTTCCACTTCTTCCATTTCTTTCCGTTAAGTGCGAATGGCCAGCTTAGGCTGAACACCTGTCGTTTCACTTGTTTCTTTTTCCATGTCCTTTGTATTCTTCCAACTCTCTTCATTGTTTCTCGTCAATCGCTGTGTTTTTCAAAATGTTGTTGCTATCTTGGTTCCAATGTCTTTTCTTTTCTTTTTTCCCGAAAGCATCGCGAAGGGTTCTTCCGTGCGGAGCCCTTGGACAAGTTGCACAGAGCCAAGTTGCACAGAGCCAAGTTGCACAGAGCCAAGTTGCACAGAGCCAAGTTACATAGAGCCAAGTTACATAGAGCCAAGTTACATAGAGCCAAGTTACATAGAGTTACATAGAGCCAAGTTACATAGAGCCAAGTTACATAGAGCCAAGTTACATAGAGCCAAGTTACATAGAGCCAAGTTACATAGAGCCAAGTTACAGAGCCAAGTTACATAGAGCCAAGTTACACAGAGCCAAGTGGCACAGAGCCAAGTTACACAGAGCCAAGTCAAGTTGCACAGAGCCAAGTGGCACAGAGTGAAGTGGCACAGAGCCAAGTGGCACAGAGCCAAGTTACACAGATCCAAGTGGCACAGAGCCAAGTGGCACAGAGCCAAGTGGCACAGAGCCACGTTGCACAGAGCCACGTTGCACAGAGCCAAGTGGCACAGAGCCAAGTGGCACAGACCCAAGTGGCACAGAGCCAAGTGGCACAGAGCCAAGGTTAGGTAGAGCTTGCCTAGAGCTTCGGCGTAAGCAGCTATGTAAGACTCGACACTCTGTCCGCCCACCAAGAGGCGCGGCTGTCCGCCAGCGTTCCGCCGCGCTCAGCACAAGCGTGCCGGCCCCTGCGTGCAAGAGTGGCACGTGGAGCCACGGCTGCGCTCGGCTGCGCTCCAGCAGGAGGGCCAGCACGGCAGGGCGCAGTCAGTTGCACGCGCGATTGCGGGAAGCTGTCCCGTTTTCTCGGGCCGCCGCAACTCGGCCCCACCATTTGCTTTGCTTTCCCCCTCCCCGGCTGCGCGCGCGGCCGCGGGCCAGCGTCCGGGCTTCACATCCCGGCCCCGCGGACGGCCCGGGAGCGAGCGCTGCAAGTGGCTGGCGCTGCTTGCTGCCAGTTTTACTGCCACCCCACGCAATTGCCCGCAATACCTATGTGTCAAGTCATGGCCAACTGTGCCAGGAAAGAGTCCCGAGCCCCTGTCCGTTCGCTGCAGTTGCCTAGATGACTCTAATCTACGGCGTCCAGCAAGCGCAGGTGTTGGCGCAGGGGCAAAACGGCGTAATTGGCGCCTGCCAAGGGTGAAACACCGCGCGCGAACTGAGACCGCAAAGGTGAAACAACCGAAGCACAGAGCCTCAAAAGGGAGCGGCGCATCCAGGGCCTCAGCCTCGAAGGGGGACGGCTCGGAGCGCCTGCATCTGCAAGCGGCAAGACGTCGCCGAGCAGCGGCCCCTCCTCCTTCTTCTCAACGAAGCCTCTGAAAATGCAAGGTGAAGCCAGGTTCACGCCATGATGTCGCGAACATTTGGCTCGAGCAGCAAAACGGCGCAGAATAACATTGACAATTAGTGAAGTGTACAGTTGGGTATCCTTGGTTTCCCAACCAGCACAAGGCCCATGACTGTGGTTGCCATTGCACTTCTTAGAAAGGGATTCCCCCAGGTCAAAGTTCCAAGAAATGACACGCTCCGAATGATCTGCTTCTTCAACCTCTCGTCGTTCCAATATTCGCAGCCGTTCGCAGCCTTTGGGGAGTTCCAAGAGTATTGCGGCTTTCATGGATTCGGGTTTGCTTGTTGTTGGTCCTCGTGTTATATTCAATCTCGCCGATGATGATCCTCCCGTGCAGGGTCCAGCAAAAAAACATATCGCTCGATTTGGTATATGCGTGCTTGGCGAGGTTCTCCCCGTGCTGGGATAGCAGGTCATCCTGAAGTGTCATCGTAACAACCTGTACGTGCCAGCGTAGCGCAAGAGCGGTAAACCAGTTGTGCGATTCCGAACACGCCATGACAACCGTTGGTTTGTTGGGGTCCAGTGCAACAAGGGTGACCTCTGTGCCAGTAGCCAAACCAGGTACATAGGCGTAGCCAGGCAAGCCCAGTACGGTACCATTGTGATTCACAGAACGAAATGTGATGTTTGCCTTCGGATCAGCAGGTCGCAAATGGTTGCGAACCGCAATTCTGTATGGGACAAAGAAACGATGATTGTCTTGTTCACGGTGATGTGCGTGCATGCGACGCATCATAGTTTTGAAACACCGTAAGATACGTGCAGGGAGGATTTACAGTGGTGTCAAGGATGTCCTGACCATCGACTTCCTGAATGAACAGTTGAAAGGACTCGTCTTGTCCAAAATGTTGTCTCGGCTGAATGATGCGTGCTGGGGCCGCAGGCTGTGTCGGGTGAAACTGCCATACTGCACGCCCGACGTACTTGTCGATGCGCTCCCACTGCAACGCGGGTTCAACACGATCCTCAACTTTCTCTCATGATCCTCCGCACAGAAACCAAGTGGAACGCAACCACCGCGTGCCAATTGGACTTTGCACTGTGGGTGGTGGCTGGTACCGCTTGAGTTTTGGAACTTTTGCTACGATGACCGGATCATGCCCTTCGTGTTCATGAAGGCCTTCCTTTGATGATAGTCCTTGCCACCAAAGGTCGGGAGGCATAAGCACCTTTGTGTACGGAAAAGTGGGTATGCCATTGATCGAACCAGTAGCTGCCTGCACGGTTCCCTTCTTGGGGTCAAACGATGTGACCATCTTTAAGGTTTCCGGGTCGGTCAACATTTCCGGCTCCAGCAATCCGGTTTGCACACACGCATGTTTCCATTTTCTGGAATCACTGAAAGCTTTGGAATGAATGTCGGCAGCCATACGGTCCGTAACCTCATAGGTCAGATACATGTAGCCCCGCTCGAACATATCATGCATCCACGTGACAGCAACACCATGGCTTCGTTCCAGGTGCCTCATAGTAGGGTTCTTACCTGATCGAACAACACTGATCATAGCCTTGTTGTCATCGAAGAACACAAACTTCGGCTACTTACCCAAAATACGCTCCATCAACCTGAGCGCAGGCATGCCCATAGCTCTCATTGCAACATCGGCAGCGACGATTTCAGCCTCAGGGGTGGAATGTAGAGCTTCCGGACAAAGGAAATCTCGTATTGGGACCCTGGAGGTTCATGCGACCGCCAGATGTCGACCGCAAAGAATCAGCGCATCCAGAAAAGTCAGCATCAGCATAAACTGCCAAATACATATCTTCGACTGAATCTCCAACCCAGCCAATCATCCTCCAACGCTTGGTGTGATGAATGTAACACATCAAGTGATGAAGTTTCTTGTCATCGTCGGTTGTCCACCTGGTGATGTTCCTCGCCAGACGGTTGACCTGCCTGAGCAAGTGGAAACGTGCAATCCTTGCACCATATAATAATTTCATGAGCGCACTGGCTGCATGAGGTGGACCTTATGGCCGTTGCCAAGAACCACAGTACCTTTGGACTGATTGCATCCCAGATATAAATCCAGGCCGGTTTCCGGCTCAATGATCAGCTTCTCACGAAGCAGCTCCCAACCCTTTTTTTGAGGTTGTTCTTTGGACCAGCCATAGACGGAAGGCCATTCTTCACCAACAGACTGAAAACCCATTGAACGCACCGATTCATCACAGTGTTGTTCCCAAAATGTACCTGCATCAGGATGACCGTACAAAGCCTTCACCAAACGAACCACGGGTCTTTTGAACTGATTCCATCGTTCTTTGTCACCCTCAGGAACTGCTTCGGCTGGAAGCTCGATCCATCAAGGTGTACCCCGTAATGTGTCCTGGATATACGCCTGCACCGCATCAGCCATCTGCACATCCCATCCGTCAAGGCAACCTAAAAAGTCAGCCCATCTGGAAGCTTCGAAAGTTGCAGAAAATTCCCCAGGTCTTGAAACAATGCCGCGTCCGACGTCTGGTTCTTAATCTGGTTCCCAAGCACCACCCCACGACCTTTGTATTTTCTGCGTGGGTCTTCTTCCGAAAGTTGGGAATGTTTCTCAACCATTATACCATGCGCCCTGGCCATGTGCACTTCTTCGTTCTTCTGTTTTGCCTCGCGAGCGACATCATAGTACTCACGGGTTACAGATAGATC